TGACGCAATTAACAACATCCTTCTTGAAGGGATACCTCAATTTTTGCACTAGCCTCAGAGACGCCCATTAATATTTCGCCTTAATTAGTCCAGAAGAAATAAGGAAGCCTAGACGTAGGAAGACTGCCTTAGTCAAAGACACAAGACGAATCCCAGGGTCGTGGCAGTTTAGAGGATGAGCTTGAAGGTGACATACTAAGAAGGTTCTGTCTACCTTGTTAACAATTTAATTTCCATTAACCATCTACTCGTAGTCGATAAGGCACACATGACACACATGTGTGACGCCTGTGCATCACATACGTGTGACACTATCGAGGACCATGTCAAATGGCCCCCTTCTTTCCAAGAAATGTCACTTTTGTTTTCCGCCAGTGGCTTCACAATAATCGGTCAAGAAGTGGCACTGAAATGCTAGTAGCTGGAAGACGGCCATAGGCGAAGACAAGAGGATATAAAAACCCAACTGGGCGAATCCAGGGTTGTCGCGGTTGCGAGGATGAGCTAAATGGTGACAACTGCATGATCGCATACACACACCAGCACACAATGTTGCCCGGATGAAGTGACTGTTTATGGTTGCATGAACACACACACACACACACACACACACACAACTCCTACCTTGCGCCCCTGGAGAGCCTGCAACGCAGCCCTCCCGTCCTCCGCCCCTGGGGTTGTGCAGCCTCGGGCCTGGGCAGCGAATTGGCGGAGGCCTGGACTGCCCACCTTTTCAGCCTGCAGAAGCACAATTTGCATTTCATGTCATTTCTAGCCGCCATAAAGCTACCAAAGGCCATCTCAATGAAAGCCTTCATTGTCCTTCCCTTTCACCAGTGGGCAATAATTAAAGGGGAAAATAAACCGCGAGAGTAAATCTTTTTTCAAAGGTGGTACCGACCCGAAGTAGCGGTTCTTCCAAAATTATCCCGTCACTTAAAATCAGACTACTGATGATCACCTTTTTAAATGACAAGGATAGAGGTACTCCCCTCACTTTTTTAAGGAGGCACTTGGAAAGGGAATCCTTAGGAGCAGGGCTTAATCTTGCAAGGAAAAAGTTCTCACTACATGTATTTAGGTACTGTGATGTAACAAACAGTCTATTCACTCCTGATTGGCACACACTTGACCTCCCCGTGGTCTTTTTAGTCAAAGCGGCAACTTTTTTTCTTGCAGCGGGCGTCACGTGATCGACGGGCGCTGCAAAATTGGTTTAGCGTGTTTAGCTGGGCTACCCAGACGGCCGCTGCTTTTAAAACTTTGATGGCGTTAAGCATAAATACGGGGTATTTATTGTTCTAGAAGAGCCTAACCGCTGACACGTGGTGTGAGTGAATGTGAGGAAAGTGAATGAGGAATTTCTCCTCTCCTCGCCCCGCCTACTACGCGGATAGAGGCGAAGTAGGCGACACGATTATGCCCGAAAAGCCAAACATACCTATCTACGTACGCAGGGAGGGACCGTGTGTTGGCGCATTTGCGCGCTCTCTCGCTCTCTCGTGCTAACTCGGCTACTTGCAACTGCCCCGGTGCCTGGAGGCGTGATACGCGTGTGCGTGCCAAATAGCCCCAGCGAATTGGCAAGGCATTTGTTCGGCCACACGTGCGCACCGCACTGCACCACACACGCACCATGCCGCACACTCGCCAGCCGGCCCGTCCACCCTGGTCCCGTCCTGGGACTATGTGGCCCTGTTCCTCCTGCTATTGCTGAGACTTGTCACCTTGCCATAAGTCAAACCTGATTATTTCTCTTTTTTTGAGGAATCGAAACCAGCTAATGACCTTGCGTGCAACCTTTTTATTGGAGGTGGGTTTGAGATCTCTCACTTCCATGGAAATGCAGTCCACCCATTGCCACCTATCATGGCTGTCAAACACTCCTCATGACAGTTGATTGGTTTGTAGGGTGACCAAGTTTAATCGATTACTGGCTAACGCATGTGAGGCGCGTTATCTGATAAAATCGATTAAATCTGACTAGAAATCGATAACTTGAGCTGAAAACCACCTGTGAATCTCGACGTCCTGCACTTCTGCAAGGACTTATCGTCCGCACCCATGAAAGGAGTTACTTAAGAAAGGCAAATGGACTGACATCTAGCACCTCCCTGAATTGGCAATATTAGGTCCCAAGGAGACCTCTTACAAGGCCAGCTATCCTTTTTGGTGGTGTTACAAGCCCCAGGCATAGATATATGGCAGTAGCAGCACAATCTGTCAAATCGCGTCAGCTGTGCATGCATACTTAAGGAGGAAAAATTGATTTTGTCCACTTTGCATGCAAATCCAGGGCAGTAGGAGTAGCAGAAGCAGTAGCAGTCTGTAGCTGCAGAAGTAGCAGGAATCAGGCCGACCAAGGGCTTTCTCTCTCCCCAAGTAAGTTCTTGGTGGTGGTGGTGGTGGTGGTGCGTGCGTGCGTGCGTGCGTGCATTAAAATCCCCAGGAGTCGCCAAGTCACGCGTGCGTGCGTGCGGACGTACGTGCGTGCATGGGTGTGCAAGTTTCTGCGTGAGTGCATGCACGTGCGGAGCGTGCAACCCCCAGGCACGGGGTTGTCTCAGCTTCTACAAGGGATGGTGGGGATTACGTTCCTAGCCATTGGTCATCAGCGCGGATGCAACAGTACATCCGTGGAACTCCTTAGAGCATCTCACCTACCTCAGTGGTATTGCTAATGCTACCTCCTCCACGAAGGTCATCAAGATAGCACAACTTCATGAGTAAATATGCCTACCATGTCTTGTACCCGAAGAGTGAACTTTACTTCTTGTGCGTTCCACTCCCGTCAATGGATATCAAGAAAAGATGTAGCTCTCTCCACTTTCTTGGTATTCATCACAGCTCTATGTCCCAACTTCTGATTCTTGTGATCATGGGATTGTCTGATAAGGTGATATTCGTAGCTTGGATCTTGGAGGAATATGGTCAGGGGAATTCATTCTTAGGATAAGGATGGGGTAGTGTTATCCTCTCTTCTTCTTTGCCGTTACAAGTGAAGCCTCAATTTTCCGGTATGAGTGTGGGGTTCTTTTTTCTCGTACATTTTTCTCCTACGCCTTTTGGAGATAAGCAATGGTACGCTCGTCTGCTTAATAAACGTCACCGGCAATCTGGTCAATCACCAAATTAACAATCGTGCACTATTATAAAAGAAAGTATTGGAAAAGAAAATGATGACCTGTAAAGATTACTGTCGCCAGCCATTACATATGATGCTCACCTATCGGGTGGTCCCCAGGACTTCCACACTCACCTCAATTCCGATGAAGCGCGACGTGTTGTTCCGAGCCTCTGTGAAACTCATTATTGGAATCAAGCTTTTTAACCATCTGATCCTGATCAGTAAATTCTGCCTCCACACCTTCTCTAAATACTCTACAGCAGATTTGGCGAGGAGAATGTGTAGTATCTTAATCACCTTTTGTGATGCTAGGCTGGGTTCAAAGTAGGTAAGACATTCCGTAACAACTGCAATGAACGCCCTCTTTTGAAATGATGCTTGATTTAGAAGGCAAGTCAACTGACAAGCACCCGTCGCTGAAATATTTGCTTAACAGTAGATACCTTATAGCAAGGTATCTAACATGAGGCAGTGTCTCCGATTTCAAGGCTACTTATAATTAGTATGTTACTTTAAAGCGTACAGCCGTCTACATAAGTTCTTCTCGGATCCCTGTAAGGTGAGGCTATTCCATAAACTGTTTGAACTAGCCTAATTCAAGTGTCGCTCCTCCATCAGTTACGTCTTTGGCCTGGAGATTGGAGGGAGCTGTCAAAGGTTGACACGACATTGACACCTCCTGGGTATTAGCACATCATGGAGACGACATTTAGAGTAGGTGAGAGTGACACCTCTTTTAATTGTGTCGCCTATGCCTCTTGGCATTTGTGGCAGGAGCAAAATGCCATCCACTCCGCGGTCAGGTCACTGCGTTGGTAACCAGATAGGTCCGTGTATCAAGCGGCTCCTGCGGTTTCTAACCATAACTGGTATGCAATAACTCGTTTTAACTTGCATGGACTTGTAAAATGCACATCATTGTTTATGTGCTTTATTAGGCCTCGATGGATGCGCGTCAGTATATCGGTACAGCACCCGCACATTTCCAGTTCTCTCTCAACTCTCTCCCTCCTATTTTGCTTCTTTGAGAGCAGCTAGAGAATGCTCGGTGGTAAGTAGTTTAATAGATCGCTCACTCGGTTTGGGAAGAACCTCTACTCCTGATAAGATTCAAATGGTTGGTGATAAACGCCTTTCAGTAACCCCAAACATTCGGGTTAATGAAACCCTTCGTTCACGCGTCTATCAAGGGACAAATGCTTCGTGGAAGCTAAGCAACTGGCTCCTGTCCCCGGCGTCTATCGGGCGATGACAACAACTTCCACACGCCATGAGTTTCTTTACTTCCTTCAGATTTCTTGTTCACTGACTTAGTTAGAGGCGACTTTTGTAACTTAGTCCAACCTGAATTAAGCAAATGGATCAACTACTTTCTAGTTCACACCCCTAAGGTGGTATAATGAGGTGCAGAAGCTCCACGAATTCTCCTTTAAACTTCGACAAGCGGTCAAACTGTAGTGCTCTTAGACGCCCTTGATGGCGAAATAATACATAATACTCAGATAGAATTTGTATTCCTGACGTGCGAAAGGGCCTAAAGGGAGAGAGGGGGACTATTGTAGAGGTCAGAAGATCATGTCACCCAGCGGAAGCATAAGGGCCGAGCCAAAACGCAGAGCCAAACCAACAATCAAGGCCCTGCAAACGGAAAAGACAATTTAGGTAGAGATGAATGTTTAAATTTTCTTCGGGTTTTTTCCTGTGTTAGCCCCTCCCTCCCCAAATAACTCACTCATTACTCACTTTTACTCGCTCTAGATGGATTTACAATTCCTTAAAGCAACATTATTGCTACTTTTGAAAAAAAAATTCCACAAATTAGACGATTGGTTTTAATAATTAAGGTGGCTCTAAATTCAGCTAAAAAGCAGCTATTTTAGAGGAGATGAATGCATTAAGTCGGGTGCAATTAAGCATACTAAGCAACTCTACTAGAAGACGCAAGAGGTACTAAGGTCACTGCCACGGTCCTTTGTAATTTGGGGCAAAATTTGCCTCACTGACAAAGTGGAGTGTTGAAACACCTCAAGGTGGTAACCACTCCCATTTACGTCGCATTTTGGCGTAGGAGGGCGAATATCAGACGCTCATTAGCTAATAAGGTAAAAAAAATTTGGACAGATTTAGCACTTCTAGTATTTTCCTCAAGTTCAAGTAATAGGGCCATTGTACACAGGCCTAGTCACTATACTACAGTAACAGCGTAGGCTTCCAAGATCGTGTGCCTCATGGCGTCTCTAGTAAAGCTGGATGTAGTCTCCAGCTCTTCTCGTTGTGAGAAAGACTTATACCTTAGTGGGGATGGCAGAAAGGCCCCCATCGTGGATGATTGAGTAAGTGGAGAATTGCAATAGAGGAGCTAAGAAAATTGCCTTTACTAAGGATGAATTTTTGGAGCGTCTGACACACCAAAACTTGATGCCTAGGAAGAGCAAGCGAAGACTGGCAAGGTAATGCAACAAAGGAAAGAAAGTAGATAATTGTTTCCACGGAAAGCGACATGGTATGATATCATCCAGCTTTAAGCTAGTCTTAACAAAGGAATCCCTGTAAGGTACTGTTGCAACCAAATTAAAAAGATCACAGGTAAGTAATGGTGTTAGGCCTCCTCCGTTAGTAATTCATATAAAAGGGATTTATTTGGCAGGCATTGTTTGGGGTTGATTTATGTTCTACCGTAAAATGACTTGCACATATCATCCATCAGCATCAACTTAACAGCAACACCCACTTGGTTAACATTGCCTTGGAGCAGCAATTACACGATAATCAAACAAAAGGAGGAAATGCGAGCGGACTAGTCATATATACTGACCCGGCAATTATCCAAGGTGATCAAAGTGGTCTCTGGTGTTTGGGGTGAGGCCTAGTTGGAACAAGTCGTGGTAACCTACGGAGACTTGTAAAGTACATACAACTGTTTTCATATGCATAGTAAGGAACTGAGGTATTCTCTGTGCACCTTTTCTACTATTGTAAACCTTCGAAAAACAAATAGCGGATACGTTGGGTGTGACTCCAGCGTGTCTGCATTCGGAATGTAGTCTAGCTCGGTTTGAAGGGTTTTAAGGTTTTTCGATTACGCATTTTCAAAAGAAGAGCGTATCATGGATCCCACACGCTAGCTGTGCGACCCATTGGGGAAAATTATTTTGTATTGGAACAAACACGTCATGGATGGGCTGCAAGGGATCCGCCTGCTACCCACAACCCACTTCTAGGGTACACTTCACTTCAATATTCACCCTAAGAAGACTATGCTTCCTCTGAGTGTGTTTTTGTATGCGATGGGTTGCAAGCGCAATCTCCTACTGTAAATTGCACACTTTCTGGCTGAGATCTATCTTTGCGTTACTGATTTCAACAGAAGTTCACATTGCCAAAAGGAGAGAAGAAGCATGGAACATGATGTATGATTAAAATTTAGTCAAAACTGTGCAAATTTTCCCCATCCACAGTGGCACTTAGTCATAATAGTGGCATTCTTGGAGTCGGCGCTTCCGCTTCTTGCCTGGTTTCCAAGGCCACATACCGTATCCTCATTCATATCTCTGTTAGTTAAAACATTTTATATGGAAAAGAAGAATCTGAAGGGTAGTTTTGGATACTCTTTCGTGGTAAGTTGACAGTATTTAGCAAGTCACAATTTAGGATTAATTTCTCTGTATACGAAATAAAACTATTCCTTAAACTTTGTATAAAGAGCAACAGCGCTGGCGAACCGCTAAGAAACTGTAATGCCTTGGTGGGTTGTTAAACCATGTTCTACAATGCTGGCAATTAGGTCTCCTCAGATTGTAATTTTACTCGGTAGCATGACCTTTGGGTCATGCCTATTGACTCAGTTCTTCTGGAAGACTCGAGGCGCCACGTTGACGCCAACAAGAAGCAAAGCCGATATTAAAGAGCCCTAACCCTTGATTTCTATTATTAAACGCTAAACTTTAATGGCATTGAGGATGGGCATCTGATTTTGTTGAGAGAATCTGCGAAGACGCTTTACAGAAGGGTTCAAAATGGCATCGACAACTACCCCAGTCCCGTGTTTTAGAAAAATGCTATTGACAACTAAAGCAACGCTAATCGAGGGTGTAAACTATTTGAAAAAGTTTATTACGGAGCTGTCTACGGGATCTGTATGGAGATGACAGTTATGTGAACACGCGGTACCATCTCCACCTCTGTTATCTTGGTGAAACCGGGACAGATACAATTAATAGTATCAGCATATGAACAAGGTGGCGAGGAGAGACCGATAAGGAACTTTATTTCCACGATACACCATTTACTAAATTGTTCTACTAATAGGCCAGTATTCCCTATGATTCGATGGACATAGGCGATGGACTTTATGTTTTCCCTTTACTCCAATGCAATTCCTAAGTAGAACGAAACTCCAAATCCAGTGAATTTGCCGTTATGAATTTGTGACGTTGCATTTTACTCAATTTCACACAGCTTCAGTAACCCAGGTGGTTGGCTCGTGGGTGTTATTCTTACAGTGACAGCAAACTCTTGGTGATCATGGAGGATGCCGAGGGCGATACCCAAAAGAAAAGAAGGGTTATGTACTGCTTTGCTTTTTGTGCTCTTCTTTTCATTAGGAGGGTAATTAAGTCTCTGCGGTCTTTACTCTCAGCCAGTGTCATTGCCTTCACGCCATGCCTATTGCCTCAGTTCTTTTGGAAAACTCTGGGCTCTGTGAAACATTGCTGACTATTGCAGGCAATAAACAAATTCCTTAGGTATTCCTTTCATGGGCAAAGGCATCGCAAATACAGGTTATCAGCCATTCCCAAACTAAAAATAATCCCGTTGTCAGTTTTGCCTTCAGGCTACGTTTCGCTTCTTCAAGTCATTGTCCTTTCAACTCCATCTCTATTTTTCAACCGTTCTCTGTCTTATCTGCAAAAGAAAAGAGGAAGAAAAGTAGCGATCTTATTGAGACGATGCCCCTTTTCCATTCTAACAAAAAATAAGTTTTCTCCCTGTTAAGCCTTGCATCAGAAGGAGGGGCTTGCGTTAACGAGATCAAAGTGAGAACTTCTTCGGTCTGAGTGACTAGTTCCCAATAGTTTGACTGTTTCCGGAGAAAGAGTTATGACTTACGGCTTTGAAGTGCATGGAGTTATATCATGCAGAGGGATCACAGCCGAAATCGGACCCGTAGCTCACTACACACATCCGCATACATACAACCATGCCTAAGCTTTGAAAGATGAAGTCCTGTGCAATTTAAAACCTTGATAGATCACCAAACCAGTCAATAGACAGGCCAGAAGCGAAAAAAGTGTAAAACAAATTTACTGTAATCAACCAATGGATGTGAATGGACTCTATCTACCAAACTTCTACTGTGAATTTGTTAAATGACAGGCGTGTAAATGGACTGCTTAATCACCTTGAAAGCTGGACATTACTGAAGGCTATCCGTGATACCTTAACCTTCAGTATTTCTAATCTCCTGTCTATTATTATCTATTCTTAATGATCAGAAATATAGGGCCTTCTTGAACAAGATGCGCCACCCACCTTGGCTAGATGCATCACCAGGATCAATTCACTTATTCAAGCTACTTCATTTTGGATGGCATGTTGTGGAACTGCACATTCTAGAAAAGTCCCTTCAACCGTGGAGTCAACTCTATCTCGGTTTGTGAGGTAGATGAGGTGGAGTCTCTATTCTCAGCTCTAACCAACGCTTTGCTTAGTCATGAGGTCAATAAAGGTTACTGTATTGGTTGTTTAACTTCTGATTTTAGCAGAGTAATTCGAAGCTTTGCTGTTGTGCCCCTGATGGGCAGCCTGCGTTATGGGTCATACCTGTAGTCGCAAGCTCTACTGTAAGACGACAGTACATGTTCTGCCCTAATATTGTCTTCTTCCATCTTCAGGGAGGCCTCAGGAAACTGAATTGATAAAGGTGGAAGGACGACGCGATCTTTACAAACCCATTTTGAATTCTACTGCTGGCTGGTGGAAAAGTGTATATTCTGTGCAAAGAGATTACGTAATGATCCTTAATAAAAGGCTGAATAGTGACTTCTACCTTCGGCAGGGAGGCCGTTACCAACTGAATCGGCATCAGCCATGGACCATCTGGAAAAGTTTGTTACGTTGCTGTCTACGGTAACAGCATGACATTAATAAAGGAAACACGCGACACCTCCTCCAACTCTCTGCTAGTCGGATTTAACCCTGATTAATTTGGCTGCGCAGCACTGAACTGAGAACAAAGTTGGAAGAAGGAATAAGTGAGTAATCTTATTGCCTGGAACTATGTAAAACTCTACTCATTATTTATAGCTTTGCTTTTAGGCCATTGTTTTAACAACTAATGTTGGATATGAATGATCACTAGCACACATCCCTGTCTCACCAGTACAATTCACCAACAGGACAAAGCACTGGATCTAGTGGAACTACCAGGAGGATACAGTGATGACGTCGTTGAGTATCTCCTCAGTTGCATGAAAATTCAACGACTGGCGCGTCTGACTCGTGAGTGTATTTCTTAGGGCAATGACTATGTTGCGATGGCCTAGATAAAAGTTTGACCAAGGGGAGCACAGATAACGATGCTCAAAATGGAAGAGGGGTTAGGTAGCACTTTGACTGCTTGTTTAACATTCGCTTTTGGTAACGGGTCACTTAAGGACTGCGCTATTGCACCTTCGTAGGACTATATGACCCCAAAACCTTCCGGTAGCCCCCAGGCCTTACTGCAGGTCATCTTTAGGGGTCTAGGGGAGATACGTATAATTACTTCCATTTTATGGGTTTTTACAAGTACTGATGGAAACCTAGGGGCCTCTACCCTTATAACACCCTAAAAAAGGAAAATTCTAATTGGTTGCGACTGATCTACAGAACGTTGAGTAAATAAATCAGACATTCAACCTTTACTACTTAATTCTTATAGTAGGTAGAAGGTATTTAACCTTAATGCCTGAAAAAAAAATCAGCATGGGTTATCTAGAAGGCGAAAAAATCTTCCCCACTAAGTAAATATCAGTGTGTTTAAAACAAGACATTGACCGCAGAGTAATGTCTCCCCTAGGGAAAAGAGTATGCTTAAAAGGAGGAGGTTAACGGGTCAAAGACTGCAATGTAACAGATGTCGGAAAAAGTTTTTGGTTTTGGAAAAAATTCATTAGATATAGTTTAATTAGGGTCTCATATGGAGTACTTATTTAATGAGAGTGAATTTGGAATTAAGTAGTACTTTTGACAGGAGAGCAGAAAAGCAGAAGAGAATCATTAAGCAATACTATCTCCATTCCATCTATGTATGCGTAGTGATCACAAAATATTATCTTTTTGCAATTTACAGTAAGCTTTCTGCAATAACTTACCATAAGCTACGGATAAAGTGCAGGCGACAGGTTAAGAGATATTAAAAAAAAGGGAGAGGCAGATATGCCTGAGTTTATCAGTACACTACCCCCAATTGGATAGCCTACCACCTCTCCATCTTTTAAGCTCATAAAAATTAAAAATTTACTGATACTTAAGGCATGGCATTTGGGCTTATCTACTTTACGAATCCAGTTTAGCTTTAGTACTTCTTCCCCTTGATTTATCAGCCCTTGTTCACTTTTGGAGAAGACGGCAAAGAAGGGTGGGTAGACCTTAATCACAATAATTTGGCCTCCTGCGGATGAGAGGCAAAATAATATTTACCTTAGAAGTGTAGGATGGGTAGTAAGATTCTTTAAGGGCAGTCATTCATTCAGTCAACAGTCTTAAATCCACGCTGGGTCCCTACAGCGTATGTGAAAGAAGTAGGGAATACAGTGGTAATATTTTTAATTGATTGTCATGAGGAGGGGACCCAATCGCTGCGTAGCTTCCATCCCAGCATTGCCATATTGTTTTTTTTGTATGTTAAACATTAACAAGAGATATTCTTGACATCTTTATCTCTGGTCAAATAAGTTGATACCGATGCGCTGTCCTCTATTCTTCAAAATCAGGAATAGAAGAATGGCCCTGAATGCAGTACAACGCCTATCTCTAAGTGACTCATCACCTGGGTCCTGATACCTTACCCACTCCAGATGGCACAGGTATTTAGTATGAAGCCTTTACGACTGTGAGATCGAGCTTGCAAAATTAGTGCATATCTATCCTCACTTTAAAGCACGATAAAGACAAATTGACCTCAGGGGTCAAGCTGCAATAATTCATTGCAGAGAGCCTCAGAGGAATATTCAAATAATTTATTTAAGAGGGATTTTAAATGTTATTATGTAAAATCTTAACAAATCATTAATTTATAATGGAATACACCTTTTAGAAAGGTAAGTGGGTAGATTGGAACAGCTTCGTAAGCAGGAGGGTGCCACTGATCCTCAAATCGGCAGAAATTAATTCCAAAATCCCCCATAAAACCCTGACCCTAACTCTGCATTATCAAAATAAATGGTGATATTTTCCAACCAGTATTCTCAGGGGTAGGACGACAAAGATGTGAAATTATTACGCATACATGGGTTTTTCCGGGTCTCTTGCTAAAGTCACACAGGTATAAAATTGCTTGTGCAGTCTAAAAATCATACTGCAGAGCTGAAGTGTCATCCGCAGAGACTCGAGTACCTATATAACTCAAAAGTACAGGGCATCAAGTCACTACATGCTCCAACCTTATTCGACGGAATTACTTAGCCTCTAGCAAGTTACAAAGGGCAAAAAGAATCACTTTTAAAAAAAATCTAGAAGTAAAGAATTCATTGCTCAAATGGCCCCCTTTCTTTAAAATTCTAGCCCATTTGGTACTTTTAACAAATAGGTCTATCGCGTGCCGTTTTCGAGCAGAATAATTCAAGATGATTCCCATAATTGCGAGCAAATTTAAATAAATTTCACTGCTAGTTTTGGGTGCAGCGCAGAGACTCACTTATTTGCTAATCTAATAGAGCTCTCCCCTCTACATAAAATACTTGCACTGCGTTTTAAACCGACGGTGGAGTAAAAAGCGACTTGAGGAGGCAGAAGATTATCTAATTAAACAAAGGCATCTTTTTTTGAACTGGTATGTTAGCTGCATAATTACAAGCCCTTAAATTTATTACTTTTACAAAATGTGTCTTGTAATTGATCCGTAAGGGTGCAGCATTCGTTTGCGTTTGTTGTGCAAATTTTCCTAATATTTTTTTCCTGAAATACTTCATAAGTCGGTTTGCCTAACCTTTACCCAATTTTCTTCTCATTCACGTTTAAAGAGTATCTTATCGTTTTAAGTAAATTGGTCTGGGTAAAAGATAAATTACAAAATGGTGTAGGTCAACAACACCTAAATTATCCAAACCTACAATGGTAATTTCCAGTAATCGTACTTTTAAGTTAACTGACATGGTACTAAAGGATAAAGTCAGTAGTGACTGGCAAGTTATAGTCTATCTGAATGCGTACGGCCAAGCCACTTATTTCCGTATTGGTTCAAACTCTTCCCATATGGCATATTGACTGAACTCCTGACCGCTTTACCTTGTTTTACGGCTAGCACTTTGGTTTCCCTCATCGTTCTTCTCACAAATGATAAATCAGATTGACAGAGCAAGGACACAGAGAAACCACATTATTTTGGTGTATGACAATGCGAGACACATAAACACCTATAGTGCAGCCATATTAAAGGGATGTGAAAGAAGTTTGCTCAAAGGTCATAGGAAGAAGAGGCGACGACAGTGGCGTCAGGTATCTTCATTGTCGCTGTGCTCATTTTCGCCGCGATAAGAAGGAAAAACATTGAAGAAGGGTCGCTTATCAAATTGATCAGCATTATCGATACGATGACGACGACTGTAGATTTGTTGCAGATAGGAGACCCATGAGGGATAGGGATTGAAGAAGGGACGCCGCCAACGTGAAAAAATCGTATCATTCAGGGCATCGGTATAGCCAGTTGGTCTGGCGCTTGATGTGGACATCAGGACCGTGGAGATCACCAGAAGTGTACACAGGAAGTAGGTCGTTAAGCTCATCCTAGGATTCTGATGCACAAATTATGAGCAGGTAAGTAATACCGTTTTCTTTGCTTTAATGTGGTTAATTACAGACCGCTTCTTTTCTAGGTTGAGCTATTCCTCTCATTAAATTAGAATTGTTATGATAAGTTTTACGGTATTTTAGATTACCAATAAAAGATTTCTAAGGCTAGATATCATCACTACACAGTGATTAAAAATATGTCAATTTCTACGGCTCCAAACTTAATCCATTTTGGAAGGCTGTTTAGATCCTGTAGTATGAATTCCATCTTGGTGGAGAGCATCTGAGTTTATTTTATGACGGAAAAGTACAAACAGTAAACTTTCCTCATCACGATTCAACAACCAATGGAAACTGGGTAAGCAGTAAGTATTCCTTCCCTTTTTCCCATTCACATGAATGCCTCGCGATGAAAGAGGCGAAAGAATTCCACATCAGATAAGCTAAGCAAAGGTTTTGAAAAGATTTTTGGAAAAACCATTTGCTTAAGAAGAGAAAAACAAAGCAAATTCCACCTTCTCATCACACGTATTTGTATTTTATGTTTGTCTGTGTGGATGTGTGTGGGTGGGTTTGGGAATTTAGCGGAGCAATCACTAAGTTAACTTGCCGAAAAAGAGTTGTCTACTTCCTTCGCCTTTTAATAAGAATTCAATCCATTGATCTACGCAAGGATGAGAGAGCAATAAAAGCTCAAATAGTGTCGGTTTATTTGAGAAGGTAGGGAGAGGAATAGTCTAACCGCCTCCACTCCCTCTCTCCTTATCTATCTCTCGCTCTCCCCCTCCAATTTGGATAAAATAATCCAAAAGAACTTTTGTGATTTATGAAATAAAACTGTTTTCCATCAGATTTGCGACTTCTTAAGACTCCTGAAATTTGGTAACAATGGACACTTGTCTTCCAATAGTGATGAATAAACAAACACTGGAGAGTTGCTAGTCAAGCTGAATAGGTATTGTTTAAACTAGTCCAAAATTTCATGAAAACAGAACTTCGAAATAATTTTACTTCCCCTCCCAGCGACAAAAGTGGAATGGTATTGGTCAGAAAGTCCTTTTCCAGTCGACTCCAGAGGCACAATATACATTAATTGTAGCGCACAAACTCCGACGATACCAACACCAATGGAAGCACCCCCTATAATTTATGATTTTTAAAGAAGAAATATCTCTAAGAGATGCTAGATCCCATAATATCTTAAAAAATTAAATTACTTTTTTACGTTTGCTGCACCTTAAGGACCTAAGTGGAATAGTTTGATATCGCAGACCAAATGCTACTAACAAATGCATGAGTAGTATCCAAGAGACATTGAAGCGTTTTCTTTCTATATCATTTTAGTAAAATTGTGCATATGTTTGACATTTAAAAGGACAATAGAATTCGAAGTATCTCATAACGGCAATCCATGTCAACCTGCCTGTTTATCTCTCAAGCCAAACTGTCAGTAAACTCAAGTTCAGCAGAATTCATCATCACATTAAACCCTAAAGTTCTCTAGAAAAACGTCTTTTAACTGAGTGAGACTGGTGGAAAAAACCAAATAAATAAATATCCAAACTCTGTTAGATGAGGCTTAAACTCTTCCAATGATATCCTACCAGCAAGTTTGGCATTAGTGGCAATGTCTTCGAATTTATTCCTGGATCATTTTGAGAAATGTATTTTTCATTAGCTATGTTACACAACAAATATGATCAGGAGTTCCTAGTGGCGAAGAGGCAACCGTTATTAAAAGTGGTTTAAGAATTGCAGAATCTGAGGCTGCTTACCTCTTTGGAACTCGTGCAGAAGAAATGGCATCGAGGAGGGCAAAGTATGTGCGTTTATAGCATTGTTCACTTCGTGCCATGGTTGGCTGGGTTGAAGCGAGCCAACGAAAATGCAGAGCACTCCGGCCAACAGCCATATCACCTTTCCCCATTAATAAAATTTGATGATGCTACTTGTGGATTTAAGTAGCTTACCAGTGCCTATTGTGGTTGGGATAAAGAATGAATTGTAAATTGTACAAAGAAGTTACTCGAAATGCACAACAATTTTAAACTTTTTTTGCAGGTTTTTTTATTTGTAGAAGAAAAATGTGTTATACGGTGACGCTAGTTGAAGAATGCCTAAATATTGTCTCTGCTACAAGTTAATTTGTTAGGATATTAACGTGAGAGTGTGTTTGGTTGAGGCATATCAACTCGATGGAAGAAAGAATAGCTCATAGACATTTACCAATGCTTTGTAATGCTCGTAAACAATGGTATGTATTTCACACGTCTTTACTACTCAAATGAAGTTATTTCAGTAGGCTGGGCGGAAAATTGCACCTGCCCATTTTTGGCCCCTTGAATACCATCAGTAGCAATAAGAATTTAGCGTTCTTTATAAAATTAAATCATTTGCAAGCTCATTATAACATGCATAGTCCACAACCACGAGGAGTGCAAAATTACCAACGCCTTTACTGCCATCAGATACGCGAGGTGTGGAGGGTCATATTCACGACCCTGAATCCTCACTTTCTTGCTACGCTGACTGAAGCGAGGGACCACCCACTTGATGGCAATTTTCGCCGCCATTCTCACAAAACTGCTACCTGGAATATTCAGTCATTCACCCAGCTGGTTCATTTGCATTATGAATGCCGTTTTGGGGAGGGGCGAGAGGAGGATTTAGCATTCATACCACAGAAAAAGGAGGGTCTACACATTGAAGCCGTTAAGCCATAAACAGCAAGCTTTTGGAACAGTTTCACTTGAGTTGAAAAGAAAACGACACACATAACTCAGAGGACTTAGTGTAGATGACATGTCATTTACGAGTTGACGTGCGTCGCGTAAACGGAGGGAAAACATCGGGCTATACACTACCCAAATTGTTTTATATTTGTTCCACCCAATTCTATACGTAAATAAATCCTGTTTTACGAAACCAACATTCTAGGGGCTCTACTTTTCTGTACACCTCCTAAATAGTTTGCTAGAGCCTGCAAATCCAAGCGTATCAAAGTGACAAGAGACAGAGTCTAGTGCTTCGTTGAGTCGTGTATTTCATCCATGGAATATTGTTTGAAGTAACTTGTCTCGCCAGTAATTTTTGAATTCCGAAATATAATTTGATCTCGCGACAGCAGCTCTTCATTGTTGTTGTAGCCCTCCGTCTGGAGGGTGAATGGATTGAATGGATTTGGATTCTCCACACGTGGAGAGGAGAAAGAAGTAGGTGGTGGAAGAGAAGAGCCGCCATTTCGGCTGTAAGGAGCCCCTAGTCCCACCTCACCCCGACCCCCTCCTCCTCTGTTACACACCGGTCTGACTCTGCTAACCTCTGATCTCGATAATGGAGGTAGCATTGAGGATGCTGGTTTATGAGGTTTCGAAGGGAAAAGCGTTTGGTCACCTGCCGCAGGGTTGGTCGGAATCATGGACTTGTCAATCGGTTTCAGTCGTCTGGTGGAGGGATTCTGGGGCATCCTCAGTCTACGAGTAGCCTGATAAGTAGACACCCGATTGGGGTAATGGATCCACGTATCTCCACCCAAACGATTCGTCCTCCATTCAGAAGAAACGTTGATTTTTCGTAGAGAACACCTACTCTCTGGTCGAAATGAAGAGGTTGAATCATTAGTCTGTGTGGAAGGAGCTGAATCGGTGATCAGGGGAAGCACACTTTCCCGTGCCTTTCTATAAGTTTGGGGATACTTTTGACAAAGAGTTTTCCTTTGTGGTGGAGGAGTAGATTTTCTACGAAGTGGACCTCTACGAGGGGTGTATCTCCTCGAATGTGACACAGAATGGGTTCTAGGATGAGAGTAGGTCACTGTAGACGCCGTTTCGACTGGTCTATGGGATTCGGCTTCGACAGTATCATAAAGGGAATTCCTGGGTATCATAGGTGTTAGCATAGCATAGGGACCAGCATGAACGGGAATTTCAAACGCCGTGAACCGTGGCTGAGGATGAGCCGGTTCAGTGGCTTTAAGTGAATTATTTAAATGAATAGGGGTGCATTCTTCCCTAAAATTGTCTTCTTTAACTTCTTCTTCAAAAATATCATTGATCTCTATTCCGGTGGCCGCTTGCTCATCTTGTATGTCACTAGACATGACTTGTTCCCCCTTCAGCTCAATCTCAGAAGGACAATTTTCTCCATCGCCTGCGTAGTCAAGGAGAGTAGTTTCATCCACATCTTGATGTAGACTGGGGAGGAAAACAGCTGGATGAGGTTCGTACAGTTCCAAAGAAGCTACTCTGGCATTAGTTGTGACAATATGTCTAAAGTTGGTGCATTTTTTAGACGCAGAATTACCCATGCTGCTGTCCACTTGTGATTGGACCGACTTACATCACAGAGGGAATTTAAATTGTGGACACAAAATCGATACCGTTTCGTTCTAAGCCGCCCTCTTCCAAGCAAAAAAAGTCCCAAAATACATACAAGATGTCAGCACAAATTTACACCTTATTTTAAATCGTGAAAACAAATTTGCGTACTAGGCGATTCGTTTACAGTAAACGACGGTACCATGTCAACCCTCATTGTGTCGCCTTCTACTCACTAAATATAAGTAGCGTGTTAGAGCTGCAAGTCAGTCAAACCTCCAATATGATTTGTCAAGAGATTTGGAGCGCTCAAGTAACCACAGCGAATAAAAACTGAGTTTGCACTTATACACGATCCAGTCTCACCTTTATACATTCATCACAATATCGAACTAGGCTCGCCAGAGTACTTCCCGCATCAAAGAATTTCCTGGGACGGCTAAACCGTCCTAGAAGTCTGCGAAAAGCCTTTTCGTTACCCAGTGCGGATCAAAATTGCAAAAGTTTATGAAAGAATGTGTTAGGCTGTTACGTGTTTACCGTTCCCCACAAATAAAGACGCCTAGTAGGCCATACGGCACAGACATCCAGCGTGAACCATTTGACGCGCTGATTGTTCACAGGAGCGGACTGGAGAACACCACAGACGAGACCGGCATCAGTGTGGATACGCACGCCTGGATGCGTTTAGAATGCTTACATCCAAACCACTTAATGAATCAACAAGGTGTCCTGATAGGGTGTATCTGAGGTTCTCATACTGGACATAAAACCTTCTGTAGATACAAGCAAATATTGCAGAGCTGGAGATGGGCACATCCCTCCTTCGTTGATAAGAAGGGTGATAGCCACACGCCGTCGGGTGAAAGCGGGAGACACTTGCAACTTACTGCTGTGGACAACGTCTCGCAATTGTATGCTTTACTACAGGCAAGAGGCCAAAAGCCCCAATCAAGAATTAGCCAAACCTTTACCCGCCGCAAAGCATCCCAGCCACCAATAGAAGAAGCCAATTAGAGCATTCCCGGTACTTTTTGATCATGATACTTATCCAAGACGATAGCCCTAGAGATCACAAATAAGGACTGGACGGTATCTAACATGTTTACATAAAAAGCTTCGACACCTAACGTCCCATATCCGTTATTATGGAACCTGTAGATGATTTCAGTTGCAGCGCAAACGCGGAGCATTCCCTGGGCCAAAAAAAACACCCCAATGGTCGAACTGAGCAATCGCAATTCGGCTTAACTTAGCAATAAACAGACCAATATAAAGACAGATGACAATCAGTCAAAGGATTTCCGCAATCATAACACTAAGACCTGGCCGCATCAAACATACTGCATGTGGTTGGGATGCATGTAGAGGAAGGCGTGCAAATTCCCTTGTGTGTTCAGTCCACTCATCACATGGTGAATCTTCACCTCCAGCATATCCTCGAAGGTGCTGAAAAGGGAAAAGGAGGAGGATAGCAATCAATTATCTTAAATGACTGTACATTCCTGTGACAATGCGACCATGCAATCATTGGATGGAAAAAATTTATGTGCTCGCGTCAACAGGATCTCAGAGGAAAGACGGCCATCACTGCCACTAAGATGCCATTTTGTTCTGGTAATGACATCAAAAATTTCGGTTTTTTCTTTGCAATTCGATCCAACTTATATTACACGTCGTCTGCAAGACAGTGTCACACATTTGTGACGTGGATACCAATGTGTTAAGACAGAAAATTGGAAAAAAAAAAACTGAAACTTACTGAATGTTGCTAGAGTGCAGAGTGGTTTTTAGATCCCGGAGAGAGTCAAGAACGCTGGAACAGTCGGGCGTGACACTGTCCTGCTCACTGAGGGAGCGAATTTGCACGAGAATGCCGGTTAGTCTGGTGATAAGGTCCATATTCTTCATGTTGCGCAATCGCTGCACCTGGATGCTTTTCACACGGTTTACAATGTCATAGGCGTCCTCGTCACAGCGTTGCTTGAAGTCGGCCGGTTGTTCCAGGGGTGGTACGCCGTGCTCTTGTGCAATCTATGTGGTGCAAGAAGTACGAAACAAGACTCTGCCAACGAAAGACTTGGTAAAGAATTTATTGATAGATCGGGATAGTCACAGAGTTGAAGTCGTAAAAATGCGAGCTTTGCATTTGAATGTACTCGATGATAGAATTGTAGTAGCTGGGAGATGCAAAACGATATCTGCATGGGGCGCTCAGGAATGGATATGACATTTGTAACTATTCACCAATAGACTTGTTCATTGCAGAATGGCAAGCGTAATAAATGGTACCAATAACTCACTTCGTTAGCATACTGCAAAACGTGGATAAGATACTGATTGAGTTCCCTGTTCAGACGCTCCAAGTGAACGATAAGCGTGAGATACTTGTGCTGAAACTCGACAGATATTTCCGACTGATTGGAGATTTTTCGTTCTGCCTCGGTATTCAAGTCCTGCAACTCATCCACGCACATCTTTTTCACCTCCAGAATCTTTGACAGCTTTGTCTACAGAGCGATGAGAAATGATCGGACTGAGAGGCCAAATGGTAGGGGTCCGGACAAATGAAAATACATACCACCATGACGAGGAACTTCATCGGATAGCCTCCGTAAATGTCAGATTCATTGAGCAACAATCGCCCACCGCTGCTCGAAGGATCATTGAGTGAAAGAGCCGCTCCTCCAATACCAGAAGTCATCTCGCCCATAGAGGGCGCTTTAATTGAAGTGGAGGGAGATGTACCGTCACCAGCTTGACACAGAGGACAATCGTTAATGCCGAAATCGCTAGTGGTGCTGCCTACGGCGTGGGCAATTTTGTGGTGATGCATGTGTCTCTTGCCCTAGTGACAAAAACCAATGAACAACCACGGAAATGGCAAATGACCTACCTGTAGAGCAGACTGAGCCAACAGTCTGGCAGGACTCATAAACAAGTTACGACTAGCTTTGTGTTGCGTCTTGTACGCCGAGAGAGGGATGGTCTCCTGAGGGTCAATGCTAATCACCTCATAATCGGGAATAGACCGAGTGCCCAAATTAGGTCTGTCGAAAGTGACGCGATAACAATGACGCAAAGAATCGATAGCATCAACTTTGCCAGGATAGAGACCATCTGTCGGAAAACGTACACTGGAAAGGGTTATAAAGTAAGCAAAATTCCTACCGAGCATTAATTCTTGTTCCAATGATAAGGGGCATAGGAACATGCATATCGTCGGGCAGATCACGAAGAAACTCCAGCTGTACTGAGCGAGTTGCCTGCAATGTGCGAATCTTTTCACGCTTTTCGTTTAACGAACGCCGCTCCTCTTCAAAGAAGGACGTTGAGCAGCGTCGAGGTTTCCCCATCAATCGACGTAATAGAGACCAATGCGCCCGTGTTAAGCGACGGGTTTTAACATTTGGAAAGTTCTCGCGAAGACAAATGCGAAAATCATTTTCGCTTAGTAGCAGTGGTCTGAAATTGAATGGGTAGTTAATATTAACGAAAGACTACCTATCCAAATTGGAGTAAAGCCATTCATAAAAAACCCATTTATGGGCTTTTGGGAGCTTCAAAACATTTCGAAGTCGGACTGCATTGCCCTGAGCGGTGCGTCGTTCAGGATTAGCGTAAGTATTCCGCCAGCCGACGGAGCTGGGCATTCCCTTATGCTGATTAAAAGCTAAACAAAGAATAAAAACGAACCTGCTTAGGATTTCGCCTCACTCTGTGCGCATCGTCTGGTTGAATTGGTCGAATCGGAGAATAGATGCGCGGAGAATCCCTTGACTTGTATTGCGGAGTTGCCTCATAGTATTCTTCGTAGTATCTACTTTTCTTGCGAGTTCGCGGGGGCTATAAAAATTATAAGCAATAAAACAGCCCACATTTTTCCTGTATGACATCCCATAATCGTCCACGTCGTCTACAAAACACAAATAAGACTAGAGAAAAGGCATACAATTTCGATCATCCGCCATTCTCTGGGCCCCTCCTAAAACGACCACTGAGACTGACCGATTCAAACTAATTTAAATTTTAAAAATCAGCCATTTCAAAACACCAAAGTTAAAAAGGTATTAGCAAACCCACTTTTATCGATAAGTTAGTGGACAGCTTCATAAAGTAGTGGTAGGGTGCATGCAATTTTTGCTAATTTATTAAGTACTATTAATAATAGCAAAAAGCCACCAATGCTTTTATCGCAAAAGAGGTTATTTATTACTGAGTGAAAAAATGGCTGAGCACAATGACGAAATCATCTCGCTAAATGCACCGAGAGAGGTATAACAATTTGAAATGTGTGTGCTGTCTAGGTTTCTCCTCACCTTCAACCTCTGTCATTGATATCAACCAATTTCTGAACACAAATTGGGCTTCTTCCTAAGGATTCGTTGGCGGTCAATAAGGCAATATTTATTTGCCGAAATGTCCCAACGTTGCCTGAAATTAATTTAATGAGGCATATTTTCTGAATTATTTGTGGAAAATTTTGGTATGGCTACTATTTTTTAATTTACCGGGCGCTTTCAACAGAATACCAGCAAACATTTAGGAGTCAGTTTTTTGTTTGACTTGATCTCAATCCCAAGGATCTAAGCTCACCGGAATAATTTTTCGGCAAAAACAGATTTGATGTTTGATCCTCTTTACTGGTTATAATTACACCTCTTTTTTAAATATTCTAGGAGTCTTGATTACTCAGCGTAGCCAAACGAAAACATGGCAATCCACTAGTCGAGCCAATAGGAACATTGGTGTGTTCTCTGCGCTCTTGCTGAAGCCTCAAATGCCCTTTTACGCGGTCAAAGTTGGGAGGGTGCCAGGGGTATTTAAAACTTGGTGATTTTTTCTTCCAGAACCATGTTTGTTCTTTGGCTATTGTAGTTTCGGATTTGGAGGTATTTGAGTTAATTGTCACTACACCAACAGTAGGTAAATGACTAATTATTTTAAAATATAGCACCGTTTTAGAGTGCTTCGGTTAATGAAACCATTTGCCCAGAAAATTCCTAACAATATTTGAGGTTTTAGGGTAATTAGATCCCCACACTTAGTGCGGCATGTGGTTATTGCTGCGATGCAATGGTGTGGTCCCTCACTTACGCGCATGGTAGACTTTTTCGTTTAGCTTTTTATTGCACTTTATTGTTCGGATTTGGTGTTTATGCCAGAATGAAGGAACTGCCAGTTAATAGTCGATGTTTTTCTAACTTATTATTCGATTGCATTGGAGCAAATCACCTGGTATAAAAATCGGGTGGAATTGGTTGATTGTCCAGCTACCATGCGTCCTGGTAATTTATTGGCACATGCTAATAAGGTGTTTGGTGCGGTAGCTTAGAATCTGCTGCTTCCTGCGCCTCCGGCCCACTTTTTTATTTTCCACTTTTTCTAGAACTTGTTCATGTCGTTTATGGGAATAACTTGACTCTGTCCTACTCTTTTTAATTCAGTAGCTGATTCATTAACTCAAAAATTTAGGGCTGAATGTAACTGTCAAGTCCATGGTTTTGCGGGGGCTATTTTCAAAAAGTTTGCAACGCTGTGTGAAGCTGAAGAGTTTCTCAAGAATGGTTTGTATTCAGTCTTGTGTATTTTTGACTCTAGCCTCAGGAGGTGCCGGAAATTCATCCCAAAAGCGCCTGCTCTCGAGCAATAGCTTTCAAGAAAATTGCGAACACTCTGATTTGCCACTGAAAGTTTGTTTGCGACTATTTTAACTTAATTTATTTGTAGAAGAGTAAGAGTGCTAGGCTCGTGGCTTCATCTGCGGTTGATAGTTTGGTCCCAGTCGCATTCATGCATGGTATGTTCTCATGCCACTATTTTTCTTTTGGTTCTAGACGTGCGGCTGATCATTAGCTAGCATTGGCTTCTTAACTGTTCCTTTGACGCTTTTCCCTTTTGTTTTTAGACCTTCACGAAGCCGACAAGGTGCTTGTATATACCGATGGTTCTTGCAAGGGCCCACCCGATGACCGTAGAGCGGGTATTGGCGTATTCTGGGGCACCGATCATCCCTGGAATGTCTCGGAACGATTAAAAGGACGCCAGACCAACAACCGAGCCGAAATTGAGGTATTTTCTTACCTTATTTGAACCACGATGCACTTTTTCGCCTGGATTCTGGCATTCATACCTGTGCAATTCTCAACCAATTGGGTGGTTGCTGAGGTGTGGTTGGTCGGCCGTAGGTCACGTAGCCGTATGGTCTGGCGGCACCAGGTGCCGCAGATACTGATTGCATGCATTTAATCTACTTTGAATTTGTCACTATAGTACTTCATAAGAGCTAGAAACCACAGCAAACCCCTTCTTATTGACTGGAAACAGATTCAAATTCCTCTAGGTAAGGTCAAGCTGCTTGTATCCATAATATTTGTGAATTGTTAATAATATTTCATATTTGTCTTGAATTAACTTGTTACTATCCCTGGCCATTCTCTTTCGCGCGTACTCGAAGTACACTGAACTTAGAGTAACAATTTGTATCAGAGTCCATTAAACTCCCGCAATTGGATTGGGGTTTTAACTTTTTCCTTTCTCATCGGAAGGCGGCTGCGGAATTTTTTTACCTTATATGAAATTCTTCCCTAGAACTGCCTAAAAATGTGGGTACTAGGGTACTAGGGTTGATTTTTCTCACCTTTGAAGATTTCAGATTCAAGTGCGATTTGTGAATGTGGCAACAAAATATCGCAAGATACGTACCTTAGAGCATGTGCGGCGTGGATATTCATGATATGTATCACTTATTGGTTTGCTTTCCTCCTTGCCGTTTTTAAGTTTTCGTGAAAAAGACGCTTAACCTGATGGATCATCTCCCTCTTGGGACTGGTCTCGAGTTAATCAAATGGCGTCATTGGTTTTGCTTGGGCAGCAGTTTTTTGCTTTGCATGTATAATCCTGATTGAAGCAAGCATTTTGTGAAAACGTGATGTTTGAACGCAAAAGCGATGCACTAAGGTTGTTGTCCTTTGGTTTTGAGGCAGAGAGTGATTTGGATTCAGAGCTTCGAAACATAATCCTGACCGGTGTGTCAACGAAATACTACGTGGCTTTGAATAAGTTGGCAAAGAAAGTGCCTGTGTCATTTCCCTGACTTTCTACCAGAAATTCATTAAATTTAGAGTCGTTAATTGTTACAGAGCTCGGTAATATCTGATTTTTTCTAGCTGACCTTGTCACGTACTCAAGCACGTCGCTAATGACCACTTTTGTCCATCTGTATTGTTTGTGGTGCTTGCAACTTCAGAAATCATCCTCTTTCGCCTTTCTAGAGGTTCCCGTTTTCATGGCTAGTTCACAAGCATTCCAGAATGTCGTGCTCTCGCCCACTTTCCCCTGATTTTATGCTATCAAACACTAAATGCACAATACTGACACTGTCTTCTTCGGCAGCCGCCACCATCCAGTTATCTGCCAGGTTCGCGTTCCTTTCGCACTCGCGCATGTCGGCAAGCAAGGAAACCTGTATCGAAGTCTCGTCTATTGCATATTTCGATTGACAGATTGACAGGATTAAGGCCCACGCACATGATACCAGTTTATGACACCTTAATTTGGCTGAGCAGTCTTGAAGAATCCATTATTTTTTCTCCCTACTAAGAAATAGACTAGCTCATTTCCAGTTTCGAATTGAGTTTGCTTCTGTTAAATGCTTGAGAAATGTTATCTGTTGGCGTCCCACTACAGTGAATAATTCTGATTACAGCGCAAAGTATAAGATGTTCACGTTTTTGGGCATTCCCTGAATCGATGTGTCGTCCCACTCTAAATCGTGTTTCGCCTAGTAGTGCATCTTTGTTCCCTCCTAGGCATGTGTCAGAGCTCTTCAGCAAGTAAATTCAGCTGGAATCCAAGGTGTGAAGATAGTTACCGATAGCATGTTCACACTTAACTGCGCCACTGTGTGGTACTTGAAGTGGCAAAAGAACGGCTGGAAGCTAGCCAATGGGAAACCGGTGCTTCTGAAGAAGGACATTCAGCGGCTGGTTGAACAACTCGATACTCCTGATCTCCACGTTTCCTGGGTGAGTTGTCTATTCCAAATGGGCAATTTCCTCTAGAAACAACCAATAAATTTCCCTCTTTCACATCTCTTACTTGTAAACCCGTTGACTTATGTTAATTAGGGATGGGTATTTGTAATTTTGTGCCTGAAGCCCCTTGTATCGTGAAGGACATGACCTCACTTCGCTAGTCATATATACTGGAAATTTTTATTCCTCTGTATTATTTGCTTTCTTTTGTCCGTAACGGAAGTATGAATGGGAGCTTTGGACAAAATAAGCTTTAAGATTATATTCAAATCGAACCGGGACTTGGGGAGTTAGAATTTGAGAATAAGAAAATACAAACAAATTTCAAGAAGCGGTAAGTGCAATGATTTCTCGACAGGATTTCTTGCTATACTTATACATTTGCCTCAGCTTTTGCTAACAGCTTGGAAGCATCTGTATAGAATCCGTTAATGCAGCTTAATCATCTTTGGAGAGCCGGCGGAAGTCTGGCTTGCTACCCAGCGTGCTTCAGCCTTTCAAATTTGCAGGTGTTCGTCTTTGTAGGCGATTGTGTTGTGTTGCGTTGCATTGTTTTGCGCTGTGTTTATCATTCCTCACAGGTTCGTCTCCTGTGCATTTTCACAATTGTTTGGGCGCCTATCATGCGCCCAGGATGATACTTTGACGCCTTAATTGAACCTTAACAGAAATGAGGAGTTGCTGTGGTGGTGAGATGAAAACTACCACAGTGGTTATTGTTACCTCATCCGTTTGAAGAGTTACCGTTTAAACTGTTCAGTGAATCACTAAACTGTCCTACCGTAGTAGACTGCAGGAAGACACTTTTGGGTTGGACTCGGCCATTAGGGTGTTGCCTGCTGTCACATTAATTGGTGGCGTCTGGGCGGGACTAGAAGAGGGTGGTCTTTGGCATAATTTAGTGGCTGGTGTGTGTGGGTTGTTGACATTTATAGGTCCAGTAGCATGCCTTTTGGGAGGCGGGGCATATGAAATTGTAAGTCCTCGTTTGACTTGAACTTCACTAGTAATAGCCCCTTGACCCCTAATAAGTCATTTTTACACCTCCAAAAGGCATACGCTACCTTTGTTGAAATACGGTAAATCAATGAGGATACATTTCCCCGAAAGTATTGCCAACTTACATGAAGTTTAAATGGCTTTCTCTAACTTCAAGCATTCTTTACATGGCTTGTAAATGCGCCCTTTCTATTTTCCCAAACGGGAGCCTTTAAGTGACTTTCCATTGGTCTATAATAAAACCTAGGTCGATTTTTACACTACTATCGATTGGCTAAAATGACAATTTCCTGTTCTTTTAGTGTCACTCACCCGGACACCAAGGCAAATGGGGCAATGAACAAGCCGATCGGCTAGCTGATGAGGGTGCCGACCTACCTTACACTTACAAAGAAAACGACGATCCCGATGCTACTGATGTGGATTTTACCGAGGCAGATGTCTAAATCCTACCTTGTTTTGTTTCCATATCAACACTACTTGTGTTAATACATTACCTTTGTGTAGATCACCTCACTTCTCATTGGCTTGTTCGGTGCCTTGAAACTATGGTTAACATTGGCTTTTCCATTTCTTTGTATTACAAAAGGCCAAGCTACTCCTTACCTTTCTCCGTTTTTTGTGCCATTTGATTGCTCCCTTTCAAGAGTAATATTATTAGCATGCAGCTGAATTAGTCCCACCTTTGCTGTCTTCAGCGGAATGGCGGAAACGTACGCAGTGCTGAAGCGTAACACGAAGCCCTACGAGGGTCAAAAGCCTGGTACCTCTGGACTACGCAAGCCCACCAAGACCTTCATGCAGCCGAACTATGTGGAAAACTTCGTACAGGCCTGTCTCATCGTGGCAAAGAAGTACCAGAAGCCTAACACTCATTTTCGTCTTGTGCTTGGTGGTGATGGACGTTATTTTCTCAAGGAAGCCCTCCTAAGAGCCATAGTTCCTGTCTGTGCTGCTAATGGGGTAAGTTCTCTCTCCTCCTTTCTATTGATCCCTTGTGCACAATACGTGTGATACATCATTCCACTAGGTGGAGGAGGTGATGATTGGAGAGAACGGCATTCTCTCCACACCCGCTGTCTCCACTATCATTCGACGATACGGCACAACTGGAGCCTTTATCCTGACCGCTAGTCATAATCCAGGTGGTCCAGATGGCGATTTCGGTTTTAAGTACAACATTGAGAATGGCGGACCGGCCACAGAGACAATCACCAATGAGGTTTACCAAATCACGACCACAATTAGTGAGTACAACACCCTAGAACATCCACTGCCCGTGGATTTGAGCAAGCTGGGGTCAACAGATTATTGCCTGAATAATGGGAAGACTTTCAAGGTGACTGTCATATCGAGTACGAAGGACTACATCACATACATGAAGGAGATTTTCGATTTCGATCTCATCAAGAACTTCCTCAATGGAGCCAATGGCGAACCGCCCTTTAAGGTCCTTGTTGATGGTCTCAGTGGAGGTAATGCCTCCTTTTATCTGTTGCTTATAAGTGCATGCAAATGAGTTTGAGTCAATAGGCGTAAAATTCATTCCGCACTCCAATTTGTAAGACTTCCAATCCTGTCTTTGATAACATCGGTCAGAGGAGCTAGTCTTTGTGATTCCGTAGATCAGTACCAGGTCCGGGCGTAGGAACGCCATGTTTATTGCTATCCTATGTGCCCGTACGTGCGGATTTTTTTAATGTGGGTTTGTGGCATTTAAGCCCTTAGTCGTATGTGGCTGCATTCATAAACTTGCTCACTACACTCAAGCGATTATTTGTCAAAAGTCTCTCCTGAATAATTAGGGGATATCATAGGTTACCTACAGTTAAAATTAATTCATTTAGTTTTGACTCCTAAGTCCTCAACCTGTGGGGTGACTTTCTCATAAAGCCATCAGTGGACCGGTATAGTAATGGGGCAGACACACAAGACATTCGGGGCTTAAATTAAACCTTACCTAGGGGTTTTCATGTTATAAACGTTTAATAGTCATATGAGACCACTAGTATGGCCCTTTTCTTGAATTTGAAAAGATTTACTATTGGAGCTAAATTGAGTCCTCATTGTTGAGCATTGTCTACTGAAAAGTGTGTTCAGTAGGCCATAAAACGTTTCTCTTCACTGTCAGTTACTGGACCGTATATCAGGGCGTTGCTGATGGACAACTTCGGTTTGCCTGAGTCGTCCACGCTGGACTGCACACCACTGCCTGACTTCGGAGGTCATCACCCAGACCCCAACTTGACCTACGCTGCAAAGTTGGTGGACGCGGTGCGTGCGGACAAGACGATCAGTTTGGCGGCTGCCTTTGACGGTGACGGTGATCGCAACATGATCATTGGTCAGGCTGGATTCTTTGTCTGTCCCTGCGACTCCCTTGCGGTGATTGCAGACAATGCGAAGGCAATCAAGTATTTCGCTAAAAACGGGACCAAGGGCTTTGCGCGTAGTATGCCCACCTCGCCTGCTGTGGATAGGTTAGTTATCTCTTTTCCTCTTATGATGATACTCACACTCGTGCAGGGTGAGATTCCGATTTTCAGACCAATAACCAAGATGATTTACTTTCTCGTATTTTGCAATTTAAATTCTGACTGTAGGTTATACGACAACGTAATACTGGTTTCGTAACTTGTTTTGGATGTTTAGACACTTGGAATTAAACCAACTGGAAGGACTGTTCCCCTCGGCAATTTGTGCTAAAATTTGGTTAAGCTTTAGTCCAGTAGCGGCGTTTATTAACAGAATAAACAACCTTAATTGTTTTTAACCTTATTGACTAAGATACTCGTAGATCTCGGTGGTGAGAAGACATCAGGTTAAAAATAACCAGAATGGTGTCGTGTAGTCCGCACTATTAACTGGGCAGTTTCTGCGTTTAGATAGGGTAAATGGTATTACTTTCAGCGTTTTGAGCCTTTTTGTTTAAGAAATCCATCTCCTATTTCAGATCTTATTACCCCTAGTAAGTGTCCAGAATTTGACCAACTAGAACCGCTTGAATTGGACCTCACCATCGCCAGAATTAAGCTCCCCATATCCGCATAACCGCACTCTGCTTAGTGGTTAAAATTTGTTGCCCTAAACGCCTCTTAACAACAGTAGTGACATGTAATTGATACCCTCTTGTTGGGTGGATATTTTTTTGCCTCTACTAACACTTGTTGTCATAATTAGTCGTAGGACTTATATCTTAAGGCAGACGCTTCTAATGTTATTGTAAATTTACTTTCTAGTCACCTACTTTATTTCATAATCAACTTCGGGGGTAATTTATCATGTCTTCGAAAGTGGTTTCAGATTGTCTACTTCCCAATGTACAAAAGTTAGGAGTATGCCACTTGTTAAGTATCGGAAGCATACTAAGCCATTTCACGTTGCTACGACTGTTTGTATGTCTCTTAACGACAGTAGTTTTCAATTGTTAATCACCTCTAATCACACCAATATCATTAAAAGAGCCTCAGAGAGCCTTTTCTATGCATCTACTTATGGGTTGTTTTCCGCGTGCAGAGTGTGTAAGGTGAAGAACATGCCTGTTTTTGAGACACCAACTGGCTGGAAGTTCTTTGGCAACCTCCTAGACGCCGATATGGCCTCGGTGTGCGGGGAGGAGAGCTTCGGTACGGGCTCGAACCACATTCGTGAGAAGGATGGTATCTGGGCCTTCCTCTGCTGGCTCTCCATCCTCGCCTCTCGTCAGGCTGAGGGCAAGTCGCCCAACGTTCGTGATGCTATGCGCGAGCACTGGAGCAAATATGGACGGGATTTTTTCACTCGGTCAGTTATTCAAGCCTCCCTTTCTTTCATTACTTTTAATCATCACTTATTTGCTGAGTAGCTCTAGCGCTGCAGTTATGCGTAAAGGCGCTTTAAGTCAGGGTAATTGGGCATTAGCTTTGCTATCAACAAACAGGACAATAGCGTCCAGGTCGAATCCCGAGAGACAAAAACAGTCAGCTTATTGTAGTATCGCTTTGCTGTTTAGCTTCCTATTTCTTGTCAGCGTTGCATTTGACATTCTCTATGGCCCCTCCTCCACTTTGATCACCAATGCTGTTAGGCGAATTCACCGTGTCGCGTTGGGCCTATTTTTTGTGGATGCCAAGTGCGTATCTCCAGTAATCCTTGAAAATGCACTCCCTTTATGGGACGATTTTAACTCTCTCAACTATGGTATCACTTGCCATGAAGTGCTTGCTTTTTACTGCCTTTCTTCTCTGGATCTCCACAGATCCAGTCACTTCTAACAGGGGTCTTCTAACTTTCCTTTTTTAACCCGTAAATTTGTTTGGGGACAATTATTTTTGGAAGCATCGGCTAAAAATTGTTTATTCTTTACAAGAATTATGCTCTGCTCTGCACTTGATGTATCCTTGACGATATTCTGAGGCCTGCAAACATGGAAATAGCTTTGTTGTAATCCAGCAGACTAACATGGAGTCAAACGTGAACAGAACTGAATCGTTGAGGATTGATTACACCCACACAAGCCCTAATGAAGTTTGGAACTGAGTTCATAAGGCAATATTTGTGATATTTTTAGTTATGACTACGAGAACTGCACAGAAGAGCAGGGTAAGCAGGTAATGGAACGTGTGAAGTCCTTGCTAGCCGATCCTGAATTCGTGGGTCGCACGTACACTACCAACTCGGGGGCCTGCTTCAAGGTGCTCAGTATTGACGATTTCTCCTACACCGATCCAGTTGATCATTCCGTCTCCAAAAATCAGGTCTGCATTTTGTCTTGCAGAGAGGTTTTTGTAGAAGGCGGTAGTTGTCTGAGTTGGTGTTTTGCGGTGAATGGAGCTGAGATACCGCTAAACCGGCTCTATTCCCTTGAAATTGGCATTTCCGCCTTTGTAGGGCATTCGCATAATGCTGAGTAACGAGACGAGAATTGTCTTCCGTATGAGTGGAACCGGCAGCTCTGGGGCGACAATTCGTATCTACGTGAACACCTTCTCTGCCGATCCGAAAGCCCATGACCTTCCGGCTACAGTAAGTTTTCAGTACAGCTTGAAGTTTTATCTGTCTCCTTTCAAAAAGCGACTTCGTAATCCACCGAGTTGAGCCTGTATCCTACTCAGAGGAGATCGGTTATAAAAGAAGAGTATAGCCTAGGTTCTGTCGAATCTCCCTCACTCACCTGCCAAGTAACTAATCGGTTCTAGCAATAAAGTGGCCTGTCTCAGTGTAATTTGTGACTTAAACAACATTTAGAGTGTAACTTAAAAAACTACTGAAAAGTGACTCAATTTTTGTGGGTTGTTCCAGTGGTTGAATGATCTCTAAACACAACCAAAATTACTTGCTTTGTAACGGATCGTTGTTTACTCTGCTTGCACTTTTTCTAAGGTCTTTTTATCTGTCCAATCACCTTCAAGCTATATCGTTAACTTGGAATATTTTTCCATTTACCGGAAAACAGAAACAGTAGCAAAGGCTGCAGTAACTATGCCAAATGTTTAACTGTGAAACCATTACCTATCGAGGTCGTGGGGATGCACAAAAGTTCCTGGTTTAATGGGAGCGCTCTAAACATGTACTTTCGTCATCACCGTAATTACCCATTTAGTTAGGCGATCAGATTCTCGGTGTTTGGGGTGTTCCAAAACGCTTTTTAGCATTGTTTTAAAATGTATCCTTTATCCAAGCGGAGGCTAGTTTACCTACTTTCACTGGCCCCGCGCTTATGCACTCCAGTGGTAGTAATGATGAATATGCGGTTTACGTGGACATGAACGGCTAAATTTTTCGTTCAGTAACTTGCAAGCAACGCCCTCAACTTGCTTGTCTTCGGCCTGTGCGAGTTTTTTTCTGTTTTCCATCGCATGGATGCGCCTTGAAAGGCTGAGCTCATTTGGCACGTCTATTGTTAATACACTCTTCGACTTTTGTTCTTAATGGTCGCTAAATCATATCACCCAATCTTACCTTTCTTATAGCATTTATTGCTGTACATATGCATTCGTTTGCTCCAAAAATTGGCTAAGCCAACGAGAGTCATTAATGCATCTAGTCAGAATTCTCAAGTTTTAGGGATGGAAATCGTATTGGTTTCTCCTAGATACTCTGTCGTCCTATTTATATGCTCATGCCAGAGTTTAGCTAATCTTTGAAGAATTTTTTCATCAGAAAATTTTCCAGTTTAGTATTCTTTGCTTTTTAATGGATGGCGGATCCTCATGCTATCTTAGTATCCATCGAGAACAGCTTTCGAAATCACAAATTTTCTTGTTTGTGGGTGATTTTGTTGTGTCCATTGCTTCTTTCACAGAAGAATTCGCCAACTGCGCACTTCGCAGTTGTCTGTGCTTCGATCAGGCATCTGGGATGCAACATCAAACACGCTATTTGAATGTTCGCCTGATTGCTGTCATCAGTGGGTTCATCACTGACGTAGAGACGTATTGGGGTAGCGTAGCTGAGACGCTTACATTCAAAACATTCAATCAGGGTGTGTAAGTGATGAGTAACTGAAAGTTTCATCGCCTTGTGGCTGTTGGGTAAGTGCAGTCTAGGGGGTTGTTGCCTGTTGAACATTGTCTGAATTGGATTGTATTGAGATGGTGTGGAGTAGGCTGATGCGCGTCGCTGATGGGAGTATCGAAATAACAGCTTCGGATGAATGTCATTTTGGAGACGGCCTTGCTTAACTTGGCCCCAATCCCAACATAAATGCGGGGCCACAGAGGCAGTTGGTGGTCGTGACTTTCTCAGGCCAACGGTCTAGCTTATTCATGCCTTCAAAGTGTCAGGTACTCTGAGGGTTATCTGTCAGTTCTAGGTCGAATAATTCAAATGTCGGATTACACCTTTGTCCTTTGCTTGTAGCTGAAAGTTTGGATAGTTTAGTTTATGTAAACAGCGCAATAATGAATTGTAAACTGAGCTAAAATGTGTCTGCACTTTTGCGTTTGCACGATGACATGACATGCTTGCCAGTTTAAAGGTGTACGAACTGTCAAAGTCATCAGTGAAGAAGCAGTAAGATGTACAAGCACAGAAGGAGTTTTATCATCGATGTAGCCTAGGTAAAGTGATCTAGACGATAGCGTGGTGACTGAATCATAACCACAATAAAAATATGCCTCATAATGCCTCCCCCTTTGGGCGTTTTCTTCGGTGCCCTCGGCAGTCACACTTCCGGCTTCGTCCTCACGCTTTAGTCGGGTGTTTTAAGATCACACAGGAATGATGGTCGTACTACTTGCGCACTTTCTTGAGGCTCTTTGCCTCTGCTGCCATTTCAACAACGACTGGCCATCTAAAGATTGCAAGCAGCCGTTTAGCAGATATTTGTAAGTCACTCAAATCTATTCCTTCATGACGGATGTCTCCCCTCTATGTCGTTTAGGCAGAGTATTCAGTAAGTGAAATGGGTTTTTTGCCTCTGAATTGGGTTTGCATGTAATGCCCGAGTGGTCCTCTGAAGATCCCGTGGCTCTGTCGTCAGCTTACGGCAGCTCTTGAGCACCGTGCCATGTATAAATGACATACGTAGAAAAACCGTGTCCTTAAAAAATAATGAAATAAAATTTATTTCTGTGCTCACCTAACGTAGCTGATTCAAGTCATTGTGGTATCTAACGCTGGCTTTTGTCTCTTTTTAGACTTACATGGCACCGCATATCGAGTTGGCTCTGGGGTTGTGCGGCATCCAATACTTCACAGGACGCACCCAGCCCACAGTTATTACCTAGGTTTCCATTCTTTCCGCGCTTTCTCGTGATCTTTTCCTCACCCCTCTGCTTTGCGTAGTGGGCATCATCTTGCCTTTCTAGTTGACAATCTACAAACACACACACACGCCCCATCCCTGCCCTTGTCCTTTCTCTCTTTTGGTTTCGAATTCTCACCTCCGTTACGAAGGACCAACACTTGCAATGGAATGATATTTTATGATTTTTAATTTGCAACTAAAAAATACATGCCTATTTGGGTGCCAGTCTCCCTACGTGGTGTTGATTTCTCTGTTCTGTTTGATGCCTTGTAGTAGATGTGCCCACACACCCTATTCGCCCGTCCATCCCACGCTGTTGATATTGGCAGCCTTTGTCAGAGCGTAGCTTGGGTGGCTGCACTTAGCTTCTTTGATTTTGCACCTGATTCAACATCTATTTTGATTTGACAATGATTATTTCATCGCCGTTTAGTGTTTTAGTTCTGTCTGGAAAAACCATTGACATGACAGAGTTAAGAAGTTTTGTATGTGTACACAACCAGTTGGGCGTGTTCTTTGGTAGCGCAGCCTAGTGTGCGACGCGGCAATCGTCTTGTCACCTTCAGACGTCACGAAAGGTATGACACGTGCTCTCCCTTTATCAGTTTGCCAAATCGAGATTGGTTGTTACGTGGAGAATTTTCTGCACCTGACGGAAATGCGAGAATTCCATCTTTTTCCTCCTAGTTTTTGTGTTGCATAAATTCCAATCGGGTCTGTGGTAGTCGACTTTCTTCCCAAGGTCCCGGTAGTGAGTGTGTTAAGACTAAGTCCTCTTAAGTATCGTTTTATTGCATTCCCACGACCACCAGGATAGTCAAAAGTGCCCTCCATTCCTCTTGATCTTTTCCGGTAGCGCAGCTACAGGATGTTCTTTTTTGAGGCTACACTCTGCTTAGTTCGAAGTTTCTTCTGCTTTCAACACCATCTGAGGTTGCAAGGCTAGGGTGTAGGCGGTTATGCTAACTCTGGTTTCTTGAGGAGTTTGACACAAAGAAACAAACCATTCAAAACTTATCCACTTCTCTTTTTGACTAAAAGTTGGTTTGGTTGCTGCTTCTAATTTTTCAGACGAGGGAGAAGATTTCGCGGCGCTGAAGCGCTTTGTGATCGCTTTTAGCCATTTCCTCATCTGCGGGCAGACTCATGGGGGCTTTTTAACTGCAGGGAGATTTTTCGCTGCAGTAAGCATAGTTTTAGTCCTTCTTCCTCTCCCACCGGGACAAATGGTGACCACGATTCCCCCTTTTGACAAAATTTTTTGCCGCCTCTTCACGCCCTTCTTCCCTTTGCTTCTCAGCTGTCCTTTTTTTGCTCATGATCATGTGATTGTCGAAAAATACTCCCAGTTGGAGTTCAGATAAATATTCACCGGGACAATACGAAGGATGAGGTAGTGCCTTCCTCCCTCCCATTCCCATTAATCTAAACCTTCTCGTGAGTGAGTTTTTTGGGATGTGACATAAAACCATGGCTTGTATTTTCCTGTTAGGTTAGGAATACGACTTTCCTTTTAACCACCTGTTTTTATAACGAGTGTTTGAAGGCCTTCAATAGCGAGGCGAAGGAAGATCAAAATGGCATTTTTTCCCGAATGTTAAGTGCACGAAAATTACTTCACCATTAGTTTGTGTTGCGACAGCTAGCACTCATACACACGCACACACGTATGCATGGATGTGGCTGGCTCTGGACCATACTCTTAGTCGCAGAAGCATCTGCCTCCTCTCTCCCTCTCCTGATTGGTCAGTTCCTGCTACTGGGGCTTTCACTACTTCTGTGTGCGTGTATGGATGGCAGTTGTATGCAATTCGCGTCCTGGAAGTGTGTTTCACCCTTCTACAAGGCCAGCTCGTAAGAGTTCCCTCGCTCTCATTACCGCCTTTTATTTTGTACCTCTATCCGATGGTCATTGTTTCCCCATACCCTCTGTTTATGCAATTCCGATCAGTTGCTGTGGTTTCAGGCACAATCATTTTAGTGCTAAGTTTCAGACCATGGTGGTTGATCAAATATCACTTAACAGTTGCTTTAGACCTAATGCATTAGCTCTATCACTTAACCATGTCTGGTTATTTTAAGAACCCTTTTTTACTTACATTCAAAACCGAGTTTATTAGGGTTTTCCAAACAAACCTTAAATTTAATTCAGTGGTGATGAGTTTGCAATGCATTAGGCATATCTGGCTGCGAGTTCCACTTTCATTTTGTCTTTTGCCTCCGGGGCTAAAGTGTGCCTACTGAAATGGGGAGTGGAGGGGGTTTCGGGGATAAGCAGTGATGTGGTCCTTCGCATGACGTTGGAATTTGAAAGTCATTTCTCATCCGAAGTCAGCGAAGCAGTACAAGAAATTGATGATCTTCAGAGCTTCCTTTCCTCACCTAATGAATGTAGCACCCCTTTACTTGCTTTCCACCACTGTTTCAGTTGATTTGGGTATAAATTATGTTAAACATTAGTGGGAATTCCTCCCCACAAGTTAACCTCGACAGCTGCCTTTGAGTGATTCATGCCAGAAGTTAAGTTGTTTGCGTCATTTGATTTTCCGTGGCACGCTTCACTAACACCATCTCTACGACGAGAGGCCTGTGCACCCTTGGAGCCAAAGTAAACCCCTGCCGTAAAGTTGACTGGGTGGAATCACATCCATCACCTCCAACCGACACCCGGCTTAATTAAAAGCAAGGCATTTGCGATGGAGAGCGCAACAGAGTAGCATGCCGAAAGTGATTATAGGCGGGTGTATGAACCTTAGGCATTTCAGTGGGTCGTGCTAAAAACTGCATCAACTTTTTTGGTCATTTCTTTCAAAACTAAAACTTGTCATCTATTTGTTCCGACATTGCTTTTTTCGCATAGTGAGTACTTGAAAGCCTTTTTAGAGTAGTTGGCTGAAGTGAGCTCATTGAATGTTCATCCTATCTCAAATAGACTTTAGCATTATTTCGTTTGAATATTCGTCTTTTATCGTGTTGAATGAATTTTCTTTTGCATTTTTCTCTCTTATTTAACCGTTTCAGTGATGTAAGGTACGTGGACTCCGGTGATTAGCGTGCTGAGTTCTCTGCACTTGTTCGGGGATTTAAAATTCTCCACAAAAAAATGGTAATCTTGCCTGATTTCCTGGGACAAATCAACCTGAGGAACTTGTCCTACTCCTTCATTTCTACTACTTTATTTCTACCACCAACACCTATCACTGACTTAACTGGTCGTTTTGGGCCTCCCGCCCTGCGATTCACCTACTCCATTTTTGATATCTTTTTGTCAAAAATCAGATTAGGCCTACTATTGCTTCACCTTTTAAGCCCTAAAGTGACAGACTGTCATATTCTTGTCAATTTTTTTGGCAACACCTAGGTGGCGAAATTTAGGAGCCCTGTCAAGTGCTCTCCTTAATGCTTGCCTACTCCTATCTAGTTTTATATCGTAGGCATTAAATTTGATTAGAGTCTTGTTTACCCTCAACAATAAAATTGGACTTGGCCATGTAAGGCAATTTTCGTTAGAATTTCTTTTTTATGCTCTAGCTTGGCCTAACTTATTCGGGGATGAACTAGCCCACTAATGAGTGTTCCCCGCCTCTCCTCACCTTTATCCACATTTTTGTGGCAGGGGCGGATTCATGGAGCGCAGTTTCTTGTGGACAAAATCTTCCTCGTGATGGATGACCGATATACCCCATTTCTGTGTTCCATCATTCCACATTCTTTGCTATCAGTTATCACTACATGTCTTAGAGTACCGATGTCGATGTGTGTGTGGTACGGTTCCAGTAGTAACTCATTGTTTTTCACCATTCTACTGACGCAAAACCAAATAAACTGGCTTTCATCATTGATATCGCTTGCTGCGTTTTTCCTCCAGTGAATAGAGGTATGTCTTCGCATCGCTCCTCTTTGACTTCGTGCACCCCCTTATCTTGTCCGACCCCTCGGTTGACGCATTTAAGGCTATATTTTCAGACGATCGGAGCTCTGTCAGTATCACACAGACCGTTTTAGACAGTTAGCTTTAAACAGAGGAGAAAACCAGTCTTCATCCCGGTATAACTGGAATAGCTACTCAAACGTTTGAGATTCATCGTAGTTATGTCTACAAAATAGGAAATGAAGTCGTTATGAGCCGATTCCTCTGATTTAGTTGTTGCTTTTGTACCACTCCTGTTACCTGTCAACTTAGAGATGACCGCTCAGCTTGATTATGATCCTTTTTCGATACTTAAAAAATTAACTCTCCCTGTTAACTTCTTTATTAGCAAATGAACAGAATTGGTAAATGTTGGCTTTGTTGTCTGAGAAGGGTGGTGGATTCCTGCTAAACAGATTAATACCATTTTTATGTTCTATAAACTCCTCTCCTGAACTGTCCCCCCAGTTTTGCTTACGGAAGGATTGTGCCAATCTGGCTGTCGCCTTTATGGTGATAATCACCACATGACTCGGTAATGTGATGTGAATTTGATCTTTCCATCTGGTGTGATTTTAGGGGAATCCGCCCCTTTTTATCCCCCTTCTACTTGAAGGTAAGGTTTTTTACTTTTCTAATCTCTCTCCCAAGGTTCTCTGCTTTCGAGAGTTCGACCAAGAAACACTTCTCTTCTTGTTGTTATGGTGTGGGAAGAAGATAAATAGAGAGATGAAGATTACCCAACAGTATGGGAATTCAAATTGCGTACTTACAAACTGCATGGTCTGTTGACTTACCAGTGCAACTTTTTTTCTCTTCTATCTATGCATTAAAAAGGGTGATCCTCCACTCAGAATGTCGCATTTGCATGAATAATTGAAGCGCGGAGCAGTATTTAGTGACAGTAGGCACCGAACCCCGCAGTGCTTTCGCCACCGTTTCCACATTCCTCCTCATTGATCCGATGGGCTGAAGGAATTGCCAAACTATGATTGCTGTTCTTTTTTTGTACTTTTCACCCTTCACACAAATCTTGTTCACCCCCTTTGCCCCCCCCCTCCAACCCCACTCCACTCGCCTTGACAGCGACTCACGTAGGGAGAGAGGTCCGCTTTTTGTTTCAAAAAAAGTGTCCGTGTTTTTATCTTAAACCTGAAATAGATTAATGCTTGTTCATTTCTCTTTCATTTTGTCCTTAAATTCATGCACGATTTTTCTTTGCCACTTTTCCCGCTAAGGTGGCTAGTCGTGTCCTCGGCATCACCCGTTGAAAGTCATGCCTTATTTGGTTTACTTTTACAGCACGAACCACCCATTTAAGCCTCCTTTAAACAGAAAATTTCTATTGAATATTCTTGTTGGATTGCTTCTTTAATTTCCAACTCAGTTGGACTTGGATGGAGTTGTTCAAAGTGATGCCCTGTGGCGTTTCATCATCACTCTTTGACAGAATAACACTAACTGCACCTAACTCACAAAGGCAGGTTTGTTAGTAAAGAGAGGTTAATTTTCGGTCATTTCATAAAACATTCAATATTACCCCAAAATGAAGCCTGGCATGCTTTATTTAGACAACAGACTTGTGTGATAACTCTTTCTTGTTCACTCACATCTGGTCTCAATGTTAACTAATAATATTAAACTTTTTTACATGTTTTTTGCATTGTGTGAGTTGGAAAGAAGGCAAAAGGTTTTCTTTTGCTTTAAAGTTAAACAATGCATTCTTAATTGCATGTTTTTTTTCCAACTGTCGTGGCCTCGTGGTTGAATTACTCTGATTCCCAAGGTCGTCGCCTATGTGAGTATCCTCAAACTATCTTACGAGGGTGGGTTTGCTTTGGCGGTATCAAAGGTGCCACTTTGTTTTTGGGAAATGAGTTTTTATTTTCTACGAAACCTTTAAGTTTTCCCTGTGACCTTAAATCGTATCAGTAGTATCGACAGGAATATTGGTGGTTTCTACCCTCGTAGCAGTCTTACTAGTAAAGGAGTTTTAGCATTCCTTTTCGAAATTTGCCCACTCCGTGCTCCTTGGTTACCCCTGACAACATTATAGAACAAAAGTCATGAACGAATGTTTTCTAGATATATAGAAAGGCCGAGACTGGCAGCACAGGACTGGCACGAGTTGATCCGTAGCATAATATGGTTTTAGAACAAGTTAGTTGAATTTTTCTGAGTTCATTTCACTTGCTTTGCATGACTTTTATTCCATTTTCTCATATTCGTATTGTGAACTGCGACGCCTCGCCTCCTTCCTGAAGTCGTACAGGCTATTACCAGTGAGGAAGGAGGATTTTTTTACAAAGTACAGAAGAGCTGGGGGGGCCATAAGAGTGGTCTGAAAGCCAAGCATATTCACAGTTGTTACAATCCTACTGCAAGTTTCCCCATTGTTTCGCCTTCCACGACACCCATGCCTCTCTATGTTTTTTGTGCAGTCTGTTGTTTGCCACTCAATAATTCGTTACTTTTTACGAACATGCCTTCCTCTTTATTCTCCTCGGAATGGATGGGGGATCAATTGGGGTGTGAGCACCACAGTAATCGGTAAACAGTGCAATTTTACTACCACATTAAGGGGTGAATGCTAACTTGCTCCACATGTAAAGTCCTCGGAACCTGCAGTAATTTTCAAGTGAAGTTATTTTCGTATTGAGGCTCACTCTCATACCCAATTTGATGCTATAATGTGTGAAAATTAACTATTTCCTTCATCCTACCTTCAATTGACGTTGTTGTTTTATTTGCGATTTTTGTTTGCCCGAATCTGCTTACTGTCACGGATGTGACCTTTCGGGGCAAGTTTTAGCCGGATCAATAGGCAAATCACGTAATGACTTTGCCTTCCCCCCTCCTGTCAGGATGTTCTCGCTTTACTCTACGACGCGTACTTTTCGATGTGCCTATACTCACTGAACTTGTTTAACTTTTTAACACGTCTGGTTCGGTGGAAATACTCATTCACTTTGGTCTTGAATCATCTCCTGTCAGAGCGCTTCGTGGTATCATACAGGCAGCCATTCTCCACTTAAGTCACGAATGGTAGGCCTCTATTCTACGCTGTCCGATGTTAATTCACAAGCTTTCACACTTCCTTTGGGGGTTTTTTGTCCGCTTCCGATTTGTCAGCCATCTCACAATAGCATCTGTTGCTCATTCTTCTGAATGCATGATTTAAATTGCCGGAAGAGTGGTCATGCTTTGATTTATGAAAGAGAGTGGATTGGCACCGCTGGTCATGCCATGTTTTCTTGGGATGCAAGTTCTGTTGTGTTCACGGCCTTTTAGAACCTCACTCTTACCAACCGACCGACCGGATGCTGAGGTGATATTAAAAAGGTGGTAAACTCGTTTTGAACTTTATTACCACCGTACGGTTATCCTCACTATCCCCTGCCTTCGCAAATTAGCGACCCTTTAAACGTACAAACAGCAAAAATGTGGATTTTTTTCAGCTGAGTGATTTCTTATCAGAGCTTCATCTTTGAATTTATTTTTTAATGGAAATTTTTATGCAGGTTGTGAGTGTCGAAAAAAATTAGGTTTTTATTTCGGCGCAAGTTTCACACCCACTGCCTCCACAACTCCGAGAGTAAATCACTCGCACGCAAATCTAAACATCCGCATTTCATGCCTCGGGTGTAGCCACAGTGACTGGCCCCGATGTTTTACATCTCTTTGTCTGTAATCTCTTGTACCTGATAAGCGGCGTTGTTCGGTCCTCCTGTCGGGTCGTTACCATAGCATGCCAAATTCAGTGCCGCAGTGATGCACGGTATTACCGCACGCTTCCTCCGCACAAGTAAATCCTTTTATGCTATTTCTGTGCTATGATTACGTTATACTCATGTTATTGTTAACTTTCCTATTTTTACTGACCTTTTTATTTTTCCGTTTTTTTACCTTCAAATGATCGGAACTCCCTCTTTTTGATCCTGCTTTTTGAGGTATCATGATGGGTGCATCAGTCGTTTTCTGGCCCCCACCATGTTCCATCATCTGTGACTGAGTGGAAGGAAAGGGGAGGGAGGTGCTGGGAGTCGAGAACAAGGAATGCTTTTTAAAGTGTCTCCGTCGTAAATTATCCTCCTAAGCTGATATTCTTTCACCCGGCTACACTCTTGAGGGGCCTCTGGAACACTCTAAAGGCGTTATTTTCCAAATGCCATGTCTCTAGGTGAAGAGAAGTTGCAGTGCAGTTCAAAGTTTGTATGTAAAAGCAGACTTCGTTCTCAAGACGCCTAACTTGGTTACTCAGATAAGGGATTCAGTTGTTTCTACTGTCTCCCAGTCTGCCTCATTGCAGAAGTAAATTGAAACACATCGGAGGGTGGTTTTGAACACCTTCCGAACCCTGTCTTGGACTAGTAATGTGTTGCAGTGAAAAAAATGTCATTTTAGTTGAGAACTTTTAAAGATCTACTGTATTATTGCTACTCATCTCTATTTAGCCTCTCATAAAGCAGTATCCTCTTCAAAATTGTCTTTTGCGGACCCTAAAAACCACCCTACAGTTGCTATCTCAGATTGCCATGCACTGTTTTGACAGGGCTGGCAGAAAACGCGAGGTCGGAGTGCTAAGACCACACATATACATGTCACATCCCACTTTTACTGCCGTATTGTCACAACTTTTTTCCATGTAAAAGAAATACTTGAGTATTTTGCGAGCAACTACACTATTCACTCTAACGGGCACGATGTATGACCCACACCTTGTCATCTACAAAAGGTAAGGTTTGTGTTTCCGGTGTTTTATAAAGCATGCTCTAAAGAGCACATTTTCCTGACAGATTGTAAAATGGCCGATGATAGCACAAAGCTGAGTCCGCATCTGGGCATGCGAAAGAAAAGGAGCGTCCAATTCCTCGTTGACTGTCACCTTCAAGAGGCGGAAAGCATTGGAGGAGGACCAGTTGAGGCCTCGGGCTATTGCTCCTGCCACGAGGGTGACAATATTTCTGTTCGGAGCACGGGATCTACCCACCGAATGGTCGTCTGTCCAATTCGTTCCGCTAGCCCGCGACCATCCTCTGGAACTGTTGATTCGGTGACGGCGGATGAGGATGAGGACGGCAGTCCAATCACCATCTCTCGACCCCCCGATGCTCCAGAGGACCTGGCGGTCTTTGAGATTGGTCTTGGAATGCTTAGACAGCACACTATCTACGAAGTGCAGTTCCTTCTTCCTACTGCAGGCCGTTTGAATAGTGAAGATGTAGAAATCGCTCGTACGAATGTTGTTCTACCCCAGGAGGGAAGGCATTTTGAACGAGCTGCTGATGTAGAGGTCATCCGAATCGACTTTTTCAAGAATGATGGTGGTAAGTCTTGACGTTTTATTAGCGTTGTTTGCTTTCAAATCTAGGAAGTGGCTTTGTTGTCAGTGTACGGTATAGGGCTAGGTGACCTCGTCTTCCTCTTCCTCAATCCTTCAGACGATTCACCTTTTGATTCTGCCAATGCAACAGTACTTGAGTGAAGCGGAATCAACTGCGCGAAAGGAATAGAAGTGATAGGATAGTTTTTCTACCGCAGAAAGAATGCACTTTTTATTGGTAGAGATTGTGTTCCTAAACATTTTTTTTTTCGCTAGGCAGTCTACATTAGTGTAATTTGTTCTGCTAGGGAGAAGTGCAATGTCATCCCAAAAGCTAATCTATTTTTCTGGAAAAGTTTAACTAAAATGGAACTACTTGGGAAAAGCGTACTCTAGGACGGTATCCCAGATTTACATCCCATCTTCATTCCATCTTTTTACTCTCTAACGCAGTCTGTTCACATATCCGTCTTCTTGCCTTCCGAAGTATTCTGACCATCGCATTGTGTTGTGGGTCATTATACAAACTCCAGTTCTGATAGTCCCTCCGCTATGTGAGTCTTCCACGACAAGCGTGCAGTTGGTGGATTCTCCCTGGAATGGGTTAGCCAACCCTGCTGTTAATGAAGATGTTGTAAGGTACACGAGTCTTAAGATGGTCTTATGCCTATTCACGTAATCAAAAGCGAAATTGAAACAAATGTCCTTCCGGTTTTCACCGCTTAGAGTCATATATCTTGGTTTTAACGGCCTTTACACTTCCTGAATGAACTTGAGCGTCTATGTGTGTGTTTATTAGTCGCTCTCTCTCTCTCTCTCTCTCTCTCTCTCTCTCTCTCTCATAAAACATAATAGATTTATGGAGCTCTTTGCGACCATTAAAGTCTTGGCTAGCTTTACCACGCTCCTTTTCTACACTACTTGAAAGGACGCTTCACGGACGTGCCGTATCCCCATTGGGATTAGAGGAATGGAGGGAGGAGTTGTGCAGACCCAAGCGTTAGGAGGTTTACTTTTCCCTTGGATGCCGAATTAATATTCTCTTACCTGTCCTTTAACACCAGGGGAAATTTAGCCTACTCTACTCTAATCTGATCGCAATGAGGGTAAATGACGGCTGCGTAGAGGCGTTTATTGTTCAGTTATCGCCCTTTATGATCGCTTAGCCGTTATTTCTACATTCTCAAGGTGGAGTGCCATAACACTTCCGCTTCAAAACTGAAATAAATCTCTTGTTTTTGGGTAGAAATTGATCTAAGCATTCAGCCTATGGTTTAAGTTTCTTTTTGTGCATGGAACATTGAGTAGTGAACGTTCGTCGAACAAGAATCCAGTTTTTTACGAAGTCGATAAGTGGAGTCTGCTCTGACATGGACTTGAAAAAAACGAAACCATTGTCCTTTCCTTTGGTATAATCAGCCAAGTTGAGGCTTTTTTTCCTAATTAAAATAGACACATCAACTAATATGAATTCTTTTCGAGCGGAGAGGGTGATACAGAGGGGTGATGACGGATGCACATGAAAGGGACGAAATGTGGCTTGATTTCAGTGCGTGAGGGGAAAAGAATGACACTTTTTTGATTTAGAGCATGTAAAGCCTCCAATCAAAACATGACCAAGATCATTAATAGGTGAGTTTGTACCCAAGACCAGAGGAGAGACGTCGAGACCACCAGGGAAGACTTGGGCTGACCAAGTGGGCTAAGAGATGGCATTCTTGTGGCCTTCCGACCTAAAAATAGAGGGGATAGTGAATACCCGTGGTAGGGCATTATAACATCGAGGAAATAGGAAATAAAATGAGGAAATATTTCTTCGGAATAGAAGCAGGAAAGATGAGGAGAGTCAAGCATAGTCGGAACTTTGTGGATCATAAAGGCGAAGGACGACGAAAGCTGTGGACGAATTCCAAGTAGTGAAAGTTGTATCGCATTTTCGACACGACTAAATTACTTCATTGTTTAATTCTTACCTTGGGGAGTGCCATTCCCGTTGAAGGATTTGTAGACACTGATGAATCGTTCTAGGAGAGTCTGTGGTACGATAGCTTGTCATCCGGTGTGTTTAAACGATCCGAAATTGTAAATGTTCATGCTTGTGCCTAATGTTACCCTGATAAAATTTACCGACAGGCTTCGCTTTGACCTGGCCTCCCGGAGGAGGCATTTGACGCGCCTGGTCGCTGTAGTGGTGGACTGGAGACCATCACGTCCGGGATCGTCACTGACACAGAGACGTAGGGCTGCACGCATTTGAGACATTAACATTCAAATCGTTCTGTCTACCAATGAAGTATTCTACTGGTGAACGTTTGGGCAGTCTCATTTTGTTGATGCGAGTAGATGTTTGGGCGTTGGAGTTGTACGTCTTGGCCTTCTGTAACAAGAACGTTGGTTAATCAACACATGCTATTGTGTAGACGCCGCCACTAAGGATTGTACCTGCCGTCAACTTGGTGAATGGTATCAGGAATGGTCTATTTCTCACAAATTTTTCATCCACTATTCCGGGTAGAATTGGTATCTCCTCTTGTATGTAGTACTTGGACAATGTCCACCCATTTTATGCCTACCTATAGAATGGGACCTTCTTAATAGGAATAACTGAGTAAAGATATACAAATGGTAGATCGGAGCTTCCATTCATCTCAAAAGCCCATGTCGGGTAATCCTTCAGTAAGAGGATTTAAAAATGGAATGCTTATTTCTCTGAGAACGACTATGATCGGTTGGTTCGTGAACTCGAGCCATGCCATCATATGATTGCATAACAAGGATTTGCTGATGGTTTGAGAGGTGTTTATTTTGCGTCTATCTAGTCCCCTGAAATGAATGCATTGTATGAAGATAATGTTTACGGTTCTCTGTGTGTTGATAGCTAGGTTCACATCCACCTGTTCTGTCAGACAGCTTGTTACTGGTATTTTTTGGTAAATGTCAGCAGGTGTCTGGTTTCTCGCCTCCTTTTGTTCAAATAATGACCGAAATTGACTTACCTCTTAAGAAAAATTAAGGCCTACCATGTCCAGCCAGCATCAACAGAATTGTTGGTTGCTAGGACTCTCCTTGGCCTCGGTAGACCTTCGAGTATAAGTCGGCGCAGATCTAGCGTCACCAGCTGTAACGCCTCGAGAATTCTCCCTCTACATGAACGATGCGTTCTATTACTAAGGTGGTTATCGAATTTTGGAGATTAAAGAGTTAAAGATAATGTTTTACTTTACAGTCACCTTCCCTCTTTCGGTTCCGTCTTCGTCACTCCCGTGGTTACTTTTCAGGTTAAGTGGTCGCGAATCCTTCTGGGAATTTCAATGAGCCTCGGAAGGGGAGCAAAGCTGACACGATGAATTCGCATTAGAGAGACAGGGGTCCATTGGTGTGGAGTTATTTTATGACTTTCTTAAGTTTTCCGTCTCATAAATGTGACCTGCACTAAGCGTACTCTCTGCCTAAGAGGACTATCATGTCCTCAAATCATGAGGTGAATTGCCGCTTTCATAGTGAAGTCTAAAGTACTTCTTTAATGAGTATCTTCAAGGCATTCTAAGTCGGTCTTGCTTCAGTCATTACTGGCCATTATTGCAGCAAACGCGATCTGACTTCGGTAGCTCTTCACTTGTGGACTTTTGCAACTTCCACCATTTCCATCAGCGCCACTGCCACCGAAATATGGAGTTTTACTCGTTTAGACTGCATTCCCTTACTACTGTGATTACCTAATCCCCTCCGCCGAAGACAAGTATGGAAGAAGGGTCAAAGGGCTCTAGGTATGCCTGCGAGGGGTTATATCGGAAGCACACATCCTGGGAGATTGAAGGTCCTGCCCAACTCAGTGCACAGTTCACCGTCTAGCATTTGAGGTTTAGCGGATTACCGTTTAAATCCCCACATCTACACGAAATATTCACAGGTATTCTCTCTCCTCAACACGCGCAAAGACTCCAGTGGACTAATTTAAGTTGCAAGTAGCCGTCAAAGTTGGGGAAAGCAGTAGGATGAAGAGCGAGGTGTAAATTTGGAGTGAGAGGAGTTAATTAGAGGGATTATGTAGTTCGTGCATCGAAGAGGCTTTGTCTTTAGAAGTCAAGAGAAAGACCTAATCTTAGCCGGAGCCATTTCTACCTATTCATTACACTTTTATTTTCCACCTTTCTCCGACTTATTTTGCACGCGATTTTATGAGGAGGACATGGCGGTGCCTCGGTCCCATTTAAGGTCCGCATCTTAAATGGGGTCACTTTTGTTCAGACTACTTTCCTTGCGCATCTCCGAGCTGTACATCACAACTGTAAAAAAGCCACTCTCAATCACAGATAGATCATCCAGTTAGTCAGTCGTCAGAGATTATGAGTGAAGTAAAGAAGGATAAGTTGATGGCTATGAAAACTTTATGTCATCGCACCGAGCTTAATCTGTACCATCCAGTTGCTCTGTGCCTTTTGACACCACTTTGCCTTCTCAGTTGATGTAGGTGTAAACGGGTTGCCTCATCATCACTCACAATGTGAAGGGTGACTGACGGTGGTTCCTACTACTCCAATCTAGAAGTTCTTGAATCAACGGCAATATGGTGCAGTTCCCTGATCCAATCAGGAGTAGAGCACCGTGTCGGAGGTGATACTGCATCATCCCTCGAGTTGTTGGAGGAGAAGTTGGTGTGTGGAGCATTGGAATTAAGTTGATTAGACAGGGTTTATAGAGGAGGTAAGGCCCAAATAACATCCTTCAGGTTGAACTGAAGTTTGAATGAGGGGTGAAAGTAGCGGGAAGATGACAGTGTGCTACCGAAGGAGTAACGCACGTCCTTTTTTTGGTTACCTGGTACTTAACTTATGCACCAACCTGCTCAATTAGGTCAAGAATAGTTGCCCTAGGCCAATGTTTGAGTTCAATGAGGTTGTTTCAAATCCAGATTTTCTAAATTATTTCAAGTGGTAGCACCTATCACAGATCTTTTACTTAATTAATTTAAGTAGATGCTGCTAAGCAATATTTTAAGTGAAAATCCTTTTGGCCCGAATTTTAAGGGGAAATAACTTTCATTTGTCCTTTTTTCAGTCTACAAGTTGACAATGAAAATGACCACATGCGCCATGCCACATTTGTTTGAAAGTTTCGTGCTCAGGGAGACTCTCCATCACGAGAACTGTGTCTACTTCATGCTACGGGGAAATGCTCTTGGTGAGTTCTCCCTACTGGAAAATGCTACCTTGTTGGTATACAGTGGTGAAGTCGGTAAAGACCCACCTAGATTAGTCAAGCCACGGCCGTGTAGGCAATGTGATTGGCTGACTCACTGGAGTTTCGCAGGGTCGTCAGGATAATGTCACGAACTGGTACTATCACACACCGGCTATCGTGTGACTGTGGGTTTGTCCAACGAAGCCCAAACCAAGTGTTAGCTTAGGCCAGCAATTTTTTCGCTCGAGTGAGCGGAGAATTGAAATCCCTTTGCGCTTGCCTGTGCTTTCACTTTAATGCCCGAGGCTAATTTATTCAAATCGACTTGAGGACATAGAACACAAAACCTTAAAATAATTATTTTAAATTCTCAGTTAATGATTTTTCTTGACGACTGTCTATTGGATACCATATTTAAAGTGCTACCGATTAGTTAGGATAAATTTTCATACGGAAGGTTTGTCGATATGCAATTGATACAGCAGTGGGATTTTACGAGAATCTCACATAACTGCGTCATATGACGTTAGACTCTGAGAGTGGTTTTGTTGTCAAGATAGAGAAGAACTAGGAAGGTAGAATCATAGTTCTATCTCACCCACTTTATTGTTTGTTTTGCGTACGGTTGCGCGGTTGTTGAACTCTAATGTGGGTATAAGTTAGCGACTACTTGGAGTTGGGAGAAATAATGATCAGGTACATAAGGGGAATGAGGACTAGGCGGTATCTATATTCCATTCCATCTGATTTCATGTACAGGCCTTCAAAAGGATCAGTTTTCGGTATCTGGTACACGGTGCGAGATCTTGTGTTGAGTGATTATGTTCTAGACGTTCGTCCTCGAGCTGTAACACATTGGTTCGGATGGGCAGTTCTCATTCGCATTTGTTGTTTGGTCTTTAGTAAGTAAAAAAATTCATCCTGAATGATGCTGTTTGCACCTCCCTACGCACACACCCAAAATAAAGTAAGTGTAGTCTTGTGGCGATGGTTTGATGTCTTCGTTTCTCATGTCAGGTAGATTACTCACGTAGTCCGTTTTTTTACCACGGAAACGTTTCGGCTTGCGAGAACATGAACATGACCTTCTAGGCACCAGTCCTATCCATTGCTAAAGGGGATGAAATCTTACACGCTTTCAAGTTATTTCTTTTCGAGTGGATAGATTGTAGGCGTCTTTGTTTAGTCCTCAGGAAGTAGACAATTCATTGTGGGCAATGGTGTTTGGAGTCCACCACTACATACATGGACACACAAAGCAAGCGCAGTCTTGTGAGGAGAAAGTGTTGCTTTTCCCTTTTTGAAGGAATGGATGGTTTAGGAGGGAAGCCACTGATGTGTTCCTTTGCTTAACAATCATTGGAATACAGCACCACAAGTGCCTCAAAGCCATTCTTCATCACGGGCGGATTAGCCAACTAGTCAGTCAGCGAATAATGCAAAGCGAGAGAAGAGGAGGAAGAAGGTGATAGTTACTGAAGTTTATTGGCATCTTTCCGAGCTTGGCATGTGCCTCTCATTTGCTCAATGGCTTCTAACACGAATTTATTTTCTCAGGTGATGGATGTGCGAACGCATTGCCTCGTCATCACTTGTTATGAGAGATGATTGGAAGGTGTCCTTGGTACACCAAGCCGGACATGGTGTAATCAGGAGTAGGGTGTCTTATCAAAAGTGATGAAGTATCTGCCTCGTGATAGATGGAGCATTAAAGTCGAGTTGGGGAAACAGGGTTTGTAAGGGAGATAAGGTCTGAACGACATCTTTCTGATTCAACTGACGTGCACGAGGGATGAAATTAGTAGGAAGACGGTGGAGAGCACACTAAGTAGTAGCCCACCCAAAAGTTGGTGCACATTAATCCATTTGTGTTTTTTCAGTGCATACAGGTAAGCAATGGTGCCTTATGGGTGTCCACAATGTATTGCATCGACCCACACCGAATTCTTGATTCGCATGAACCACTTTAGGCAAGTCATTCGTGTTGCCTTCAATTAACATGGGAATTTGCACCAATCCGTGGGAGTCTAAAAGGATCGCGCCCTACTTTGGAGGTCCTCCTCGGCGATTTTCCATTCCAACTGAGGCATGTGAAAATTTAAAATTAGGCATAAGCCTGTCATATTTTCTGTTGAAGGATTGTCTTCGAAAAGGTTTTCCTTTGGCCTCCATTACCGTCCGTTGTCTAGGCGACGTTTTGGAAGCATTACGCATCGTTATTCTCCATCCATGGCAAATGCCTATCAATACACTTAGCTTGGACGTTTCCTGAATCCTCGGTCATACATTTGTACTCCTCAGTGGATGAAAGTTGTCTTACACCTCGCATCAAAGTAGAGTTTTAATTACCTCTTCAGAATAAACAATTGCTGTGGTGGTGAACAGACGTGCGGATGGATGACTGCCAGTGTTTGGGTGGCCGAAGGGCCCGATCAGTGTACCACATCACGCTGTGCAGGAAATCTTCCACATATACGAGTTGACATTCCTGGAAGTTGAGGCCTTAATTTGCAGTACTTAACCGTGTCTTGAATGGACTGGCTTACTTCATGTATGTCGGTTATTAGAATTGCGTAGGGCACAATTGCTACGGTTGCACACTTTCTCGGGCATTTAAAAGCTCAGATTTGACCGAGAATTTGTGATTTTCACTATGTTTGCACAGGGAAGGGGCACGGAACCCCGTCACTACGATTGGGCATTCATCAAGTCGGCCACACGGCCGAATACGAGGGCTCCGATGGCAAGACCGAGTGGGCCGGTTTCGGAGATGAAGATGAGGCCGAGGCTGGAGATTGATGTTAACCGTCATCCTTGTCATCGTGATTGCTCCCTCCTCCACTTTCTCGCCCTACATATCACTTCCCTCCTCTCCCCTCCCAAATCCTCACATTCTCTGTACATGACGCCATTTATGCATCCGGCTTGGTTGCTCCTTTGATTGGTAGCTCAGTCTGAATGTTTCCTTTATTTTCCGTGTCTTGTCTCCTACGCTATTCCGCACTGTTATTGATAGCTACCTGGGATGAAATGAAGAAAGAAATGTCCCATTTATTTGTCAAGGGAGTTTATTGAGCCATTGGGCAGAATAAAAGTTTGCTCTTCGTTTGTTTCAATCGAGTAGATCTGTTTTCAAAGCAAGTTTGACTACATGCACCTAAATCAAGGAGAGATTTGACGAATATGGCTCTTTGCGGGGTTCACCTTAGGAAGTAGGTTTGTTAGGGGTATCCAGAAGGGTTGGGAGACTGGAGACAGGTGATCACAACGCAAGAATTGAAGAGTCCGTGTAGTTAAACAGACCAAGTAGCGCTATGGTAACGTTTTAGTTCGCTGCCAGCTGAAGCCGTCTACATATTTTGACCCCAAGGGACCTTCCACCTTTTCTGCCTCCCTCGTATTGCCTTGGAGGAAATGTTGAATTTCAAAAGGACGAAATCCGCTCCTTCTTTTGGGATAAAAAGCACCCACTCCATCTTGATATCAGAAGCTAAACATTCCACTCTCCATTGCTTCAATTGCAGAGATTGAGACGGAGCATCCATGACACCATTTAGATTATATCATCCTCATACAGGTAGTTTCATTGGTCCCGTATGCAACTGAGTTGTGACCTCTTGCCTCTTCACAAACAAATTGTAGCGAGCTGTACCGAATAGCTCGCAAACTTCCGTGTCACCTGATCCTTAATACTACAAGACAAATTCATCTCTATGATTTACACCAAATAGGTTTCTTCCGGTTTTATTGCAGACCTCACACTTCGTCGCAATTGTGACACAGACAGTAGCTAGCGCTATCCTGACAACTTAGAATGGCCAGTGATACCAAATACGGGGTTCATATGACGTTAGAAAGTTCCCACAAAAATCAGCACTTTTTGACCAATCGGATAGAGAAATTGCGCATTTGGACCACAAAAAATTTGGAAAGTTCACATTCGCGGAGCAACATTGTTTCGATCAATGCTATTCCTCACTTCTTTGCAACTCGGACAAACTAGTGTTTATAAAATGAGTGTAGACCTTCAAAACTGAACAGCCTACAGTTCTAGTAAATGCACAAACAGAGGGCAGTCAGAGGGCATGAGTAGGTAACAACTTAGTCCGAGAACAGCTGAGGATCGCCATTTCGTTCCTAGTAGGTTGAGCGCTTAAAATACGAATTTAGCCTTCTCCAAAGAGCAAACAGTTTCCCAGATGATTAAACCAGGATAGATTTTGAACAAGAAGGAGAGTTAAACTAGAAGCAGCCATATTCTTATGCAAGTGAGGCGTAAACCGAAGTGAATCGAACCAACCGAAAATCGGTTTAAAGAAGAGCCGTTGCGATGCACAGTAAACACAGCAAATCAGGCAGAATGGGCAAAAAACAGGAGAAAAAAGGAAGCTAAAGCATCAAGGGTCCGCACTGGACTAGCTGGCGCAGAGATAGGGTTAGCAGGAGAGGGGGAGCCCAAATAAAACACCAGGAATGAACAAGAGGGATGGGAGGGTGGGAAGAGCTACGAAATGTGTTACAATTAGCCAGATGATAGGATCACTGCAACTCCACGTTTATCCGATCGATCTCGGACTGCAGAGTCGAGTTCTTGTCCTTCCACTCGGACAATTCATCTACAATTCCAAGCGGAACAAAGCCGGTGTACAATAATTCAAAGGCGATTGGGTAGTAAAATTGGTCTTTAAGGACACCCAAAAGATTTTCAGGGTAGCAGGTTCAACCAAAACACCAATTTGCGTGCGCTAACAGAGGAATTCTCACCGCACGACATAAAAACGCGTGACCTGCTGGTCACGAATTACTAACGTCAATTCACACTACGCACGAAAACGGTTGCGGAAACAGTTTAAGCAAAAAAACACCAGGTACCAGGTAGATTCGATAAACAAAGTGTCAACTAGTTCCTCGGCTTTACAAACTAAAGAAGACTAATAGAATAATCTGAGTTAGACATAAGTCGGAACCAAAATTTGACTAATTATTCAGTTAGGTGACAAGTAAGATACCCATTTGTCAATAAAGTGAGCAAAAATAAAACTGTTAAGCCGATTAAGCAAGGAGTTGTGACAAAACTTAGCAATAAGGGGAAATAACCAGACAGAACCACTGAATTAGCAGAGTGCCTAATCGAAGTTTCTTGATGCCGGTTAAAGTGAGGGGCAAAATAGGCAATTTGCGACAACCTATACGACTTGATTTAATGATCTGCGTGCAAAAAAGTAGCATAACTGCAAAATTGATAAAAATTACCCTCCAGCATGGCCAGCTCCATTTGATTGAGAAGGGCTTGTTCCTCAGCACGCTTCGCCCTTAAATTCGCCTAAAGTACCCAGAAAATAGAAAGTGGTCAGGAGAATGAGTGAATGGAAAAAAATAAATCAAATTGCAAGTAACCCACAGCGTCTAGCAATTTGTTGGCTTCCAGTATTTGCTTTTCAAGGGCGTCTATACTGGCTGCTTCCTAAGAGAAAAAAGCGAACAAGTGAGAGCAAAATTACAGATAATCGGAAATCCTTGTAAACGAGCCAAAGCATACAAATAAGGCTAAGAGCTAGTTGTTGACCTTATCCAACCAAATATAAAACAAAAATTGGAGTTTAGGTGGACAGAAGCATTTGTCGTTATTTATCAGAAGATGAACTGGTAAAGCCAAAATAAGAGGTGACAGAGAAAACACGCATTGAAGAAGTGGACCATAATTAACTACAAAGCAGTACATACTTACTGACTCGCCAGTGACTTTTCGCATAAGAGAATGGTGAACGTACGGATTCAGATGATGACTTGAATGCCTTCAACTTGTTGGTATAAAAGCCAGTAAGATGTTGCAACTCCAATATTGACCTACCAACAAAGTACAAAAAAGTCGCTTACTTTTCCTTCTTCTCATTTAGACTTTCTATTTGATCAATTTTCTCCTCTATTTCCCGTAACTGTTCCACTGCCTAAAAAGGGATATAAATGGGAATAATTTTAACTAACCGCAGAGGATTTAGATTGCGCCAACTTTGCTTCCTCAGCAACCCGTTGAAGTTTTTCCTCGAGCTCAGATACAAGTTCTTCTTGGGCATCCCTCTTTCTCTCCAAATTGGCAGCAGCTCTTAGTTAAGATTGAGAATGCAAAAATAATTTGGCATACTTTTTGCTCTCGTCAGCCGCTCTTTGACTCTCCTCTAGCTTTAGCAGACACTCTTTCAGGTCCTTCTGCGCAGCCTCCACCTTTATTTCAAGAGTATCTCGATTTTTATGAGCGGCCCTAACTTCTGCTTCCAGCTAAATTGACACCATAACATAGGGGAAAATCATACAGCTTTCTGCTCTTGAATGATTGTTCGAAGTTCCTTATCCTTCTCGGCAAGTTCAGCCTCAAGTTTAACATTACTATCATACGTTTCTAAAATCCTTTGCTTCAGAGCATCCATGTATTCGAAGAGAAAACTAAATACAACCGACACCAGATATTTGACAGAACGCCTAATTCACCATTAGACTAAACAATTTTTAGGACCACAAGCAATATGCTAACATCTGAGAATTACTTGATTAGCAGTAGAAGTGACCAGAGATCTGATAATTTTGAAACGCTTGTAGTAAATCGAATTTTAAATTTGTCATTTAATCTAAATTTTGCATACATTTACTTGCACTTCTAATTTACTTAGTAACCAAGGTAAACGCTAGGAAACAATGTGTTTTTGCAATCCCAGCCCATTATTTGTAAAAATTTGATTTCGAAACAAATATACTTATTTTCGAATCATTATTCTCTCATTGTGTTGCACCAAAATCACAGTATCCGTAGCACTTACCATACTTAAGAATAATTCTGGGTTTTAAATATTTTTCTCCCATCTTCAAGCTAATTTTAATGCGTCACAACTGGGACGATAATACTTCCTAAGACTTTCCTTAAAGTTACAAGGATAGGCTGTAAATACTGTATTTGGATCTCCTACTTTTATTTGGCATTGATCTGAACAGATACTGCGATAAAGTTGTATTACTTGGTAATACGTGCTTTTGCCTCATAAATTTTATCAAAAATCAGTTAAGCACACGTAGGTTTAATCGATGGTAGCCAAAATCCCCTTTGATTTTTTACGTTACCAATACAGTGCTTGATATTTGTACTGACTGGCTATTCTGTACTCTATTTGAAATTTGAATCTGCCTTTCAATAATTTTTACTACATTTGTAACACCTTCCTTACTCAATAATTTTGTTTCTACTTTTCGTCAACTATGTTCTCTTGGGTAAAATTGTTAATGCGCTTCTTATTTCTATACATTGGAAACAAAATTTAAAATCTTTTTAGTTGTTATTTTAAGCCGTCAAGGTCATTGCACTTGTCTTTAATGAAGTGGACTGGTTTTAAAGACAGCTATAGCATTTCGGTGTTTGTATGAATTGGCTTATACTTAGATCTTTGCCGTAATCAGGACTTGTTATGGATGAAATGACAATAGACACATTTGAAACGGTAAAATACTAGTTTTCCTTTCATCTAATGCTTTAGGCCTCGCTCATTCTTCATAAGGATACCATCGACAAATTTTACGTATGCAAACAAAAATATGCTCAACTCGACTGCGCGGACAATACATTTATGCAAACACTCCTCGAACACTACATGAATTGCCAATCAGAGCCAGAGTAGTTTTTGTGCTTCTTATTATCGATGATTTGCTTAGATCAAGAGGAGTCTCTAAAACTATCTGCCCTGAATGCCGATTTGTCGCCGAGGATATGTCCAAGCTCTTTGAACACTTTGAATCTAATCACTCTGTCGAAGCAGGCTTCTCCTGTAACTGTGGGCTGACATTTTGCCGATTGCCTGCCTTCTTACGGCACTATATCGCATGCCCATTAGCTTCATTGGATACACAAGATCAAAACAACTCAAAGCAGTCTTCCCCACTCACACCAACTAAAGTTTGTGATGAAATGTTTAAACGATCTGACTCTCCCAATGCGGTGAACCCGGAAAACAATGAAAGCACCAGTCCTGAAGCCAGTCTTCAAGAGTCGGTATCGCATTACAGCTACTATAAGCACCCTCCTGTTATTCCGATCAAGGGACCCTCTGATGATCGACCATTTGGTTGTCCAAAATGTCCCAAGGGATTCAAAAGCAAATCTCTTCTGGAGCAGCATATGCATTTGCACTATCCACCGAGATACAAATGCCGATGGTGCTTCAAAGTTTACCGTTGGCCTCCGGTTTATTATCATCACATGCGCACGTGCAAGAAGATGCTGCGCTCAGAGGCCGAACCGGATAAGACAGCAGCAAATCCCAGTTCCATCTCCATTCCTGTCAACGATAACGCTGTGCTGGATCTATCCCGACCCACTAAGTCCGCACAAATTGCGCCAAAAGAAGAGACCGTGGTGAAGCCCACCGCACCCGCTGATTTCACTTGCCCCTGTGGAGCCACCTTTTCCGATGTACAGTTCTACTTCAAGCATGCTGCAAAGTGCCTTCAATTGATCCATACCTTTGGTCCCCTTGTACCTCCTTCCACTGAATCCAATGAGTCGGCTGACTTGGCACCAATGCCCAAGTCCCGTACTAAGCGCTTTTTGTGCAACATCTGCGCAAAAGACTTCACATCAAAACTCTCCCTCAAACAACACGTCGACGGGAAGCATAGAGCGGAAGGCAAATATGTGTGCAAGCTCTGTGGCAAGCGTTACAGATGGGGCGCCTCCTTCTACTACCACCGACGCACCTGCTCCCTTGCCAATGGGGTGAACCTTCCCTCTACTGGGGTGCTCTCCCGCCTTCCTCACATCTCCCAACCCTCTGCCTAGTTCCCCCACTCTTCTCTTAGTGACTTAGCCTCTCTTCCTTTAACCCTGTACATACCACCGCCACCGCTGAAATCGCCTAACATTCTTGTGCTTCGCTCTCTTGTTCTATTTTTTTGATACCAAAACCACCACCAGCATGTTTTGAGTGCATTTTACTTTGGCCCCTGCCCCCAGCCGTGAATTGGCTCGGCTTTTATGCAGCATTTAAATACTTTCAGCTACCCTGCAGTGACCTATGATTTTGTAAATCTTACGGCCTTCCCCCCCCCTTCTATTCTCAGCTCCTTCTTCTTTCCTTCCTGTAGAGCACCTGTTGCCGATTCGATCTGTCGCCCACTATTCGACTGCCTATTTACTTACCAACTTCGAGAAAGATAGTGTAAGTAATAAACGGACATTCCCTGTCATTCGAAATATTTGTGGAGTTATTTATGGCATGCTTTGAGAGTTGTTATGTCGAACTGTGTGAGCCAGCGGAGTGTGTGGTATTAAAGTTCCCTCAGTCTGAGGGGACGAAAGTGCCATGTTTGCTCTTTTTTTGGGATCGCGAGTAGAGGCGTCGATTGTATATCGGTGTTTTCATGGTCTGTCCGCTTCATCATCCCGTTTTTGTTGTGTGCTGCGCGTTTGTGCGACCATTTACACCTTTCCGGTTGGTTTATTCAAGTTGATGTGATTTGTAATCCACAGATACAGTATTGTACTTTAAAAATGCGACACTAATCTGTTGACAGGTTAAAATTCCATGACTTTTATGCTCTTAACATGTCAAGGGCCTGGTAGGTGGCTCGCTTGCACACTCTGTCAGGCTGCTTGCTTCATGAATTCGCACACACCTCTCAATATTGCTGTCTGCTAGAGGGTGGACGGTTTGAAATCTGAGAAAGTTGGGTCACAGTTGGTAGCGACTAGTGAACCGTATAGTAACCAGTCAATTCTGCCTAGGGAGGCATTCACCCCAACTATGGAGAGGCAGAAATTTGTTAAAGTTTAACTAGATTCCACAATACTTTTAATGCTATATTCTTCAAGTTTAATGAGTGAGTTCTTATCAAATGGCTTCTAATTTCCTCTACCCTCAGCCTGATTTGTCAACAAGGCAGAATGAAGAAATTATTGGTGGTAGTAGATTCTGCCAAATAGAGGGGCTTTATTCGCAGTAAAGAGAAAAGCAACGGCATCAAACAGCACATTCGTTACTTTCCGCGGCTCAGTGTGCCTCACTATTATGCGCAGCTTTTGATAACTAGAAATGCATTAGATTTAATTCACTTAGCCTCCGCAAAACAGCAGAAAAGAGGATTTGTTTCCTAAAGCATGCCAATGGTCCAGAAAAACGAGTGGAAGTTGTGTACAGATAGCATCTGCAGTGCTGTGTCATCTTACTAAGGGATCAGACGGAGCGCTGCGATGCATTTAAATGAGGCACAATAGAGCAGAAAGCGGTACACACGCAGTAATGCCTCTTTCTTTTTCCCTTTTTAAACTAGGAAATCGTCCATTTGATGGATGTCTGGCTTCTGTGTTGTGAGACCTAGACTTTCAGGATCATTACTTTGTCAACGATCAGGTCGGAGGAGTCAAAATCATATAAAGTACATTGAAGTAGGGGGAGGGGAGAATACAGGTGTTAGCCTTTACTGGTCAACACAATTGAGGGAATAAATAATGGCTTGAAAACTGTCATGTGCTCCTATAAATATTTATCACTGCCGTAACAAAACAATCGCCTTTGATACTTAACCGGCCAATGTATTGAGATAGGCCACATGGCACGCTTAAGTAATATTGTAGGTGATTTTTTCCACCCGCCCTGTCTTCCACTCCCTCCCATCCATCGGACTTTCTGTCCTTCTCCCTTGTTGGTCATTTATTCTGTGTTCATCACTTGAGGAGACAGTTGATACCACCCGTGTAGGCGTAAACCTCAATAAGCTGCAAATTCAAACACGTGACTGCTACAGCGACTGCTATATATAAATGCAAAAAAATTGCCTTTTTATTTTTTTTCTTACCTTTCTACTCTCTCATATGCTTTTGTCGTGATACTTGGGGGTGTAATAATGCGGTGCCTTTAGTGTTTACCGCTTCACTGGCTCGGATCCGGAAGGGTGGGGATTACACAGGCATCTACAAAGCCTCGAGACGGGGATTTTCCAACCTCTACAAGTTGGGTGAGAGGCAAGAGTTGACCAATGAGCTGACACCTCACTAACCAATCACTCAATCCATCAGATATCAGATATCAGATATCAAAAATAACCTACCACTCGATGTGGAGGAAGATGAGCAGAATGGACGTTTTTCTCGACTGGGGGGTTAGTTGAAGTACATACGAGATCTGTGTCTTCTGACAGAAAAAAGAGAGTATTAAAACCCTAGGCCTGTACTCTTAAAATCAGCAGGTCTGAATTACAAAAAACGGTTTCTTAATTATATGCTCTTCTTTTTGCTTTTTATTAGAGAGAAGAGTAGCCTAAATCACAAGTCAAGTAAGAACGAAGAAAACAATGGTTTAAGTCAGTCAGTGAGAACTCACCTCCCTCGCCTTACTACCTAAAATTAAACAACTAATTACTCGTTTTGTAGCAGTCTTTTTATAAAGTCCTAATTAGTACTTTGATGAAATTAGGGCGATGTAAAAAGGACCTTTCAGTAATATGTTAGGAATTCAGGCAGCTGTGATCCCATGAAGCCCCTCATGTAAGGTTTAGGTGGCAAAATAGTCAACGGATGGACACTTTCTCTTCTTCCGACTCCTATTTTTCTCATTCCCACTCACACATTAGTTGCTTGATGGATGGATGGATGGGTAGGTGGGTGGGTGGGTGAATGTAAAGTTTTTACGCTGAGGAGGAAAAAACAACAATCCCCTCCGAGAGTGTGGCGTGAAGTAATTCTCACCTTGGCGTCGGTGCGATCCACGAATAGGAAAGTCACTGACAAATTACCGTTTGATGTGACAACTCCTCAGCATTGGGGGGTGAGGAGATTTATTAGGTGGGAGAGCATGTCAGCCATAGAGACGAATACAGGAGTTGAAAAAGCAGAGGCTCCACATCAGCTCAGCAGCGCAATTCCTGAAGCCATCTCCTCCTACCTACTCGGGGTTCAAATCGAAGTTAGACCCATTCACAGAGTTTTGAATAACCACAGTAGCTGCCTTGAGCCAAAGAAGTGGTGTAGGGGCTGACTTACCGAATTGGACTTGACTTATTCCTTTTAGTTCATTTTAACTGCTCCTGTTGATTGAAACAGTAAGGAATAATTTGCCTCCAACTACATACTTAATGTTGCCTGCCACTGTTGTCCACGCATATATTATCATAAAGAACTGGGGATTTTTTTCGCTCTGTCACTCGCTCGACACCTAAACATAGTTCATTACCGATACGGCACGTGTGACAGGCGATGTAATAAAAACGACTCGAAGTAATATGCACATGTATGTATGTATTCTTCCATATACACATCCATGCCTGAATACGGAGGTGCCATTTCCCCAGCAGAATTGAATATGCTTATCGTGCAGCTGTTGCCATGCTGTCTCACGATTCAACCCGACAATTACGGAGGGTACTTTAAAAGAGGGGTGGTCTTTGTAATAAACTGAAAGAGCAATCTAATAAATATCTATTCTTTCTACATTCTTCCCTCAATGGCCCACTCATTTTTCCTGCATTGGGGATCGCAAAACAATTGAAGGCAGTACAGCAACAGTGAGGTAACGTCCCAGACACATGATTGAACCGACCTATTAGATACTACTGAATTAGGCGAGGGGTATGAAGCTGTGGCCGGAGGGGGTGCAAACAGACGTTGTGTTTGAGGAAACTGGAGAAATTCTTCTTGCCTGTTAGAAGTGAAGTGGTTAGAGGTTTCCAAGATCTAAATTTAAACTTTTGTCGGATGAAAGGAATGTGCTTGATTGGAAATAGTAGGCCTTTTCTAAGGCAGCACCTCTCACAAGCGCTCATATTTCTTATTCTTAATTAACCTTTTGGAGCTTATTCTTTGAACAACAAGCATATAACAGGCTCTTGCCTTTGCAGTAAAGTATGCACAACGCGTCTGTAATTAACTGCAGGATTGCTTTCGTTTTTCATTCCGCTGAAGCATATAGTATTGTGTCTAGTGGGCATTTGTTTATCTTAAGGACACATCATTTTGACTTATGAGGATGTTGACATAAATAAACAAAAATAGCCGATTGTATAGGGCAGATCATTTTCTTAAAAGCAGAATGTCATTCCTAAATAAGGTCCGCTTCAGGTCAGCGGATCAGGACTGCATAGATCTGGAATGAATAGACCGGAAATGAATGTAATCCCTAACACAGGAGGAGCTCCAAGCCCAGAGAAGAAAAATGGACCACTTACATTCGTCGGTGAAGTGTTTTTTAGGAGACGACACTAGCTTGAACCTCTCACTTGATACAGAGAACCCTCACCTTCGTGTCAGTCACACTGCCAGAGAGGGACACTGTGTCACTTCCTTCTGGGAGTGAAATGCTGCATTAAGCATCCAATCATGAGTTGAAAATAGACTTTTGTGAAGTCCTATGCTAATCCCTGTGTACATTAATAAATAAGGCGGCTTATGATGAATGCAATATGATCATTCTACGCAGCTATTCCCAATGGTGGGCAGTGGAGCCATCTGTGCCTCCGTTATAGGGCATTACGAGTGGATAAAAAAATGAGAAAATTGCTCAACCATTCGGCCTTTTATAGCTAAAAGTATTTTACATAGTGATATTTGTAAAATAATAGAAAATTACACAAACTTGACACGTTGGTGCAGTTTAACTGAGACTCAGGGAAAACCGGAGGGGCAATCGAATTGGGGGTGGGCTAAAATTACCTCATTCTATCTATGAATAAACATATTATCCGTTTTGTCTACTCCACTTCTTCAACTTGCATACATTTGGAAAAAAATCGCATATTTGGGTACTTTTTTCATTAAAGACTTCTACTTCTTCTGGAGTACAGATGTGCCCTTTTGTTCGTACGCACTCCCTCAGTCGCTCCTACCAGATGCCCTGACTGCGCAATGTAAAACAATAAAAACGTAAAGTATTCTTGTTAATGGAGCATTGAAGAGAGTATTTTAAATGCCGACACCTTGCTAAAACGTATTATGGAAAGTCTTAGCGTGGGCTTTTGACTCTATAGCGACTATTTATAGCCTTATATACATATACATACGCAGAGACAAAAAGAGGGCTTTTGCCAATGGCACTATTGGAGGTTGTTAGAGCCTACTTTTCCACCGTTTTCACAGCAGTGTAACAGGCATGAACGATTTTGAGGGATTCGTTCAGGCATGTTAAAGTCCGCCTCCCAATGACCGCCCTGCGATGCTGCCAATCGTATCTATGGTAGTAGCAGTAGTAGTAATGGTAGCAGTAGAAGTGATGAGAGAAAGGCTTAATAATGTCAACTGCATAGCATTGTGACAATGTACCAATTCTCCACCTGTCGTCTGATAAAAAAAAAAGAATGGAAAAGGGGGAGAAGAAAGGGAAAGAGGAAGGCGGATCACTCACACAGGGATGCCTGGCTAAAAAGACAAAAAGAGCAAGAAAACATTTCTTTTTTTGTGTCTCAGATTCCCGTAGTCAGGGTAAAAATTGAAGAAAAATTGCTTGGCTTTTGAATCCCTAAAACACACTAAACCTGCGTGACTTTGAAGGTTATGGGGCGATGCCTATGACCTTACTATTCCAGCTAATCACGCTCTCCATTATTCATTCAACTGGGTGGTTTTTATGTGAAAACCAAGTCTCTCTAGTCAATTTAGTGCTTACCTGTGACGTATTGCCTAATCTTTGTCCACCAAAAAAAGTGCTACTTATGTGGAGAAGATACTACTTATATCGCCTAATAGTACTTGTGGCCTTGATCCTTCATAAAAGTTGTTAGCATAAAGATAAGCTTATTGATTACTCCTATGTAAACGAATGAAAGCGTAAATTATTTATTTCTGAGTTCAAAGTGGCTTAGGCCAGACCCTTTAGTACCATCTTAAAGTTGATCAATTTAAAGGCACTGGAGTGGGTTCGCCCGATGTCCTATCGTTACAAATGTCTCCTTTTCGCCTTCTGGCCACTATCTCAGCATATTAGAAATCTGATATTACTTTATCAGTTGTGAAGTCACTAAAATTAGGTAGTCTGAAGTACACCAACAGTACACGCATACACATACATATAGTTATGGAGAGCGGCTACTAAGTTGTAGTGACGCAACAAGGCAGCAATATTTCAGTCAAGTCTCTTCCGGTTTAGCCTTGAAAAAAAGCTACCTAAAATGCCTCCTTTAAGTGATTTAACGTGGGGGAGGGAGGAGGATACATGCACCATTCCAATTTCAAGAAAATGAAATTTGACCAATCATGTTGACTTTCTTATGTCCTCTTTGTAAGAAATAAAGGAGGACAAAAGGCGAAACTGTATAGCCATGGCTCAAAATACCACACCTATGTGGATTACTAAAATATACATTTCTGTCTTTTTAAAGCCAAAACAGAGCACCTCAGCATCACATGAAGTGGGAGGCTGGGGTAAGAGGTCTCACAGTTTTACTAGGCATGAGTAGTTCAGATCTGGCTATTTCTTTCAAGTTTCACTCCACCTAATGCCTCTTTGCCCTGCTATGCTGTAATGGTCGTCTCATTCTCCTGATTGCAACATTAAAGCCGTTGCAAATTTCGGGTTTTCGGGTGGACAAGAAAACAGACTCTGCTTTAATTAATCGCCCGTAAGTCGAGTGATGATTGGGTCACGTGGTGGAGCTGATGGATATTCGACAAAGTATTCGGAATAGAAAAGTCAGCTTTCCCTTGTTATTGACCCTTCCACTGCAGGTAAATGTGCAGTGGTCGCAAGAGAGAGAAGAAGGAGAGGCAAGGGGTTGGACCAAAAAAACTAGCCATCCATCCAGCCGGAGCAGGTTAATTCAGCTCCTTGTGGGGCAAGTGATTTGGCAGGGTTGTGTGTGCTGGTCTGTATACACCATTACCAACACTTGGCATCCAATTTTCCATTTCTCCACGATTTTTGCATTAAGTGGCTATCCACACTGTAACCCACTGTCTCATGTTAATCAACTAGCCAAATAAATTACAAAGAGAAAAACAAAGCACGAAATCACAGACCTCTTTTTTCTCTCCTTTCGATTGAGTCTCACGGCCTAAGGCGACATCGGTAAAATACGCAGCTCCACGGAACCCAGCCGATTGTGTAGACGTCTAAAGACAGGACTTTTGACATGTTGACACTAACACCCTCGAGTGCTGAATGAATTTAAATACATACTAGATGAGTCACACCTTAATGATATGCTTTACTGGGTGTGTTAGTGTGTGTATGTGTGTGTGACTAAGCTCCGATTTTGGAGTTTCTTCTTGTCTCTCCCCTCCTGTAGTTTACGTTCTCTCTTGGATAAAAAGGCACTGCAAGATAGATTTGTCCGACAAGATCACAAAAGGATATTTATCGAGGCTTTAGGTTCCAAAGTACCACACATTACACTGCCTCAGTACTACTTGAAGTTCTTTAGACCAGTGGATGGATGAATGGATGATGTGGAATGGTGGGAGGTGGGGTGAGGGTCGGGAGGAGGGAATGAAAACAAGGTTTTTGTTTAATTTAACCTGCCTTTTAGGTAGACCACAGTGGCCTTGAAATAGTACGTCTGCATAGTATACACACACCCATACACGTATGACCACATACAATTCTGTATGTATGTGGGTACGTACGTATGAGTGTGTGTGTGCGTGTGTGTATGTGACCATACGTGATTACATGCATGCACAGGTACACACGTACACACACGTACATGGATACATACGTACATACATTATACATGAATACATAAAGACGTACATACATTTATATGCGCACATAACATGCACATATACACACATATTGCGGAATGAGGTGTAGTGATAAACTGGCTGAAAACGCAATCATGGTGAACGTGGATTTTCAACAGAAAGAAATTGTGTTAAATCACCACAATTGGAGAATCTCACCCTCCTTTCCTTCACCATTTAATCGCTTAAAATGAGATTACCTTTTTTGTCGCCGTGATTAATTTATTATCGAGGAAAAAATTTTTGTTAGAAAGTCAGGCATTAAAAATCTATCAAAGTACTAAACATGACATTTTGGAGGCATTTTCTCCCCGCATTCCATCAGGATCTGCTACCTAAGATCCCATCATTGAGCATACTCCAAATGTATCCTGTTCACCTCCAATCAAAAGCGCCAATCATCCAAGTGTGGAGAAGTGCCACTGAGTTAATGAGTTAGGTCATATAGGAGAAGATTTTGAAATAGAAATTAACCTTGTGACCAGCGGACCTGCCCACTTTTTGATTAAGCTCTTCCCATTACACTTTTAACCACATGACGGAGGTGGTAGTAAGCACACTCCCGCAATGGACGTCTGCAGGATGACACCTTGGAGGAGCATTTTCACGAAATGGGGAAACATGCAACACCAGCACCACAGCCTGTCTTTTAACCACCGTAGAGAGACGCGTGTGTTAGAGATTTGTAATTTAATCCATCCTAATCCCCCATTATTCCCTTTTTCTGTAGATTTACTGCTTGAAAACCCATCTAAGTAACAGGTGATCAAGTCAAAAATGAAGAAATACTACTGAATTGATTGCACGATGCGGGCTTTTCTTCTAGGGAAGAGGTACCTACATCAGGTAGACATTCAAATTACTGTTTATTAATAATCAAAACACATCAGAGCGAATATTTTAAAACAAGTTTTTTAAGAAAACTTTTCCATTTTAGTGCTTTGCTATTCCTCCATCCCGTATCCATATCCCAATGATAAACCTACCCACCAGATGACTAGTCAACTTCAAGGGCTTTCTCTGAATCTGTAAAAGATTTAGAGGGCTAGTAAAGTCAAAGTGGAGAAAAATTTACTTAAAAGAGAAGATTGTCTTTAAGTTAGTACAAAAGGAGCAAGCTTGCCAGCCTAATACAAACAGAAGTGAAATTAAGTTGGGAGGGAGGGAGATTACTCGGAGAAGGAAATAAACTAGCTTTTCATTTCTTTCTTTTCTCAAACTTTTGCAATAAAGCGGAATTAACAGAACTGCGGGTATGTTTGAACCCCACAACTTTATTACCATCATAATTACCTAGGCCTTTTCGGCCAAGTATGATGAGCGTAATCATCACTCGCGGTCAAAGTTCACTCACTTTAGTCATCACGTCTACAACTTAATGAGGCCACATTGGTGAGATTATTTTATAATTACCACCCTACCCTCAACGATTGATCGGCCCTGCAGTAGTTACATGGACAAATAGTAAAGCTATCTTAAAAGCCGCCGCATCTCGGCCAAGTTATTTCAGTGGCGATGGCAGAGGAGGGGGAAGAAGAAAAAGTGCCTACAAGAGGCAAAGTTTCCGTAAAATCCATCATTCCACCTAATGCTTTTAAGGCGGCATGATTACCTCGGGATTTTTAAAAATTGCATGATATACACCATCACATGATGTTTGCAGTCTTGCCAAAACAACTTCTTTTCGATCATTGTAAGGACCTTATCTTATCCACACATGACTGTTCAAGCATGCATTCCTCGTGACAACCACCACCCATCTCCACCAATGCATATCCAATCAAGACTTTACAACAAGCCTGAGCCAATGCAAGTCATCCCGCCTCCTGATTCTGCCTCAACTTTTCAACCGACTGACCTTAAAGTTTGATGTAGAAATATCATGTTCATATGGTTATTTGCCTCTACCATTTCTCTTCTGCTACGATCACATGAGATGTCATAAAACTCATGATTAGTGCGTGTGTATGTGTATGTGATTATTACTTGAAAGCTTTGCTTTAAAATTTCATACCGATGTGGATGTGTTGTTCTGGAGGTGACAATAATGCCGAAAATTTCATCAAGCGCCCGCCTCGCCACAGTCTCTGTTTATGAATTTGTTTCATTACATTAGAGAGAGAGGGGTAAGGACGGGGACGTACGAGTTACAAGACATAAACCGAGGAATTCCGTAACATAAATAATTAGCATTATAACTATACCCTATGACCTTGAAGGCGTCCAATGGGACAAAAGGGTGTCCGCAATTAAGTCCACCGCGGGTTATAAATGTTACTTTACGTGTGGTAGTGGTGGTGGAGGGGGACCAAAAAATAACTGTATTCGCAATACAAGGCGCGCCTCCGAATCCCTTCAGGTAATAAAGGCACACAACATAACAGCTACATAAGGATAACTTTTCAAACAACTGTTACACACATATACACGTGCATGTACGCATATTTCCCCTTTTTCCTCATTTTTGTGAAAAAAATTATAAATGATAAGCATCCGTAGCTAGCTGGACTTTTGGGTAGAGAGGCACTCTTATTTCGTATCCTAAAAGGGGAGTACGTATGCGTATGCTACTGAATAAGTATAAGCGACTTATTGGTTTCTTCTTTGCTCAAAAAGAGATGACGTTAAGGTAAAAGGAAGGGCTCATTTGGATGTGGTTATGAAGTAGGTATACTAAACAAAAATTATTTGAGTCAAATCCAAAACCAAACGTAAGTAACCTTGCTGGAAAGGATTTTATGCAATACCTACCCAAAACATGGTATGAAGGTCAGAATTTTACTTTTTTGTGGCGTCTTATCTCCTCACAGTTCCAATAAAATGTATCACCTTGGATCTACCTAAAATAGGCGTTTGCAGTTAGATCCCTCAGTGTTATAATATGTTCTATTTTGATATAAAAGTAAATAGACACTTTCATACCTGATACTATTCCGACTGGTGGCTATAAATAAGCAAGTGGACAGGAGTGACAATAGAATTTATTTTAGCCAGAGCCACATGCTATTATTCTCCCCACGCTATAAATTAATACTTCCTTTTTAGCAGAAAAGTAGGCTGACTAGTGATACCGATCCGGTCCCTCTGGTATAAGGCTCTCGACTTGCGCAGCTAATGCATAGATAGGTAGAGCAGTAGGTAGATAGATGGCAAGGGAGGTAAATGGCCAGTCTGCTAGGTGGAAAGATGGTGAGATAGTTAGGCAGACTGATGGCGAGATAAGTAGATAGATATGTGACTAGATTGACAGACGGCTAGATAGATGATTCTGATAGGTTGTCACTGACCTAGGTGTAGGAGGGGCGACAAAATGAACTGTGGTGAATCGGGAGGCACATGTAAAGTCTAGTTAGATAGCAGTACAAATGGGACGCTTCAATACAATCCAATTGGAGAGGAGAGGACTTAATAGGTTAGAGAAAGGAAGTCATTAATACTTGGCTTAAACTCACCGAAATCTGATTATAATAAATAGCATTCTAGCATTTTCAATTCACTACCTCTCATTTACACAAGAAAGGTACTACTACTGCAAAATACAATATTATTTGCAATACCGTCATTCAATAATTTTACTGTTCATTTGTCAGATCTGAAACTGAAGACTGTAAATAACAGTACTGCTTACATATATCCTTACCTAAAACAACTTTAAATCAAATTTGGAACGGAAGTTGATGGCAAAAAATGTTTGTCTGCTAGAAAAGGCAAAAAATGAATTTATCAGATGGGATGGATTGTTAATTCCTGTCGAAGAAGCAACAGAACTGGAACTTCACCAAGCCGTCCACACAGGGACTTTTCAATTTAGCCACTTTGGGAGCTGAATTTGACCCATCCAACGTAGTCAGGTGACAGCAGTTTCCTCATCAACTCAACGGTCACGTTAGTAATTCCTCGCTTTTTGAGGTTTTCAAGGACTCCCTGAACACTTATGGACGGGAAGCTATGAAGCCGTGGTTGTGGCAACATCCTGCAGAGGCTGAACCGCCAGCGGTGGCTAACTGGACAACTTACAATATTCTCCCTCTGTTTCAATTCTACATCACCAAATTACTAATTTATCTTCAACTTTCCCAGTTCGGCCCCTTTTGATAACCGTAGTTTCTTTTTTTTCTCAGAAGGCGGGAAGATACGCACATTCTGCAATTCTTCCAATTACCTGTGCAGATGTTAGACTCGGTATTACCCAGCCATGAATTCTTCACTCGGAATTCGATATTAAACTCCGACATTAATCTGTACTACCTTTGTGGCGCCACATTTTTTGGGTATGCTCCTTTTTGTTCCCCTCCTCCTCCTGTGTTTAAAAAGGCAACTTGGAATACGCATTTTCGTCATATAGTGGAGCACTTAACATTTACCTACACACTCTGGGAAGGTGGTGGCAGTGGTGGGGAGAATACAGCCACCGGCACACATTTTATTGCCAAAAATTACAAACTACAGCAATTTAAAGTCCTGCCACTTTATAATGAAGCAATAAATTTAAACTTCACTACTATTTTTACCCCTTTTTTGGGATGAAGGGTGCTATAGAAATGCTTTTAGTCATTTTGGCAAAGTAAGGAAGGCGGAACCTCCGAAAGCCCTCCACTACAAGCAGGTCAGTTCCACATGTATTCCGTCCTACCTACACTCTAAAGGCCAGATGTAGCCACAGCGGGAGAAGGAGGAGGCTACGTTGCCAAGGTTAAATAAAGGTACACAATAGGGCCAATGAGTTTGTAATTTCATTACCCCCTCTAATTGCATCATTCCGTTGTATGTGCAACACAGACCAAAATTTAGCTTGATAGTAAGCTGATTTGATTGCCAAAATATGCTCGCATGTATCTACATACATGCATCAATATATGCGTGTTTAATGTAGGCAATGAGAGGTTGTAAACTTTTCCACCCCGAACCTACAGCCCCCATTTATTTACATGTATGTGCTTGTCCGTAAAATGCAGCGAACCCTATATGTGTGTGTATGCGTGTCCAGTGAATAAATTCTAGGCAAAAAGTCAGTAAAGAAATTAACCTATTCGAAGTATGCGTGCATGTGAAGGCATTAAAATTTATTTCAACTACCGTTTTACAAATATCATTATGTCGACAGAATGTAAAGTACCGCATAAAATCCACCCCTTCCTTTGTTCTTCTTCCTCTTCCCTTCTGATAAGAAAGGAAGCCATAACGTTATTGCATGGATGAGAGAAAACAATTTGTTCATTCAGCATATTTGAACTGCTTTAGAAGATGCTTGAAGGAGAATTCCGCAACTATGTGGGGCGCAGATCAGCCAGGTAGGAGTTGGTTAATGATGTCTATAGAATGATAGTTTAGGAGGTCTTGGTGGTTACACACATATAATAGCCTTAAGAATGTCAAATTAGATGACTAAGTAATACCTCATATTGAGGTGATGGATGATATATTATAGCCCCCATCGGTTTCGAGTGCCCATCCCGACGCACTGCCAGTGGTGATCGGGTGCAGTAGCAACAACAAGCAAGGCAGGAGTGAAAATGACATGGTAAAATTGGCATCGCAAATAAGAAAGGCCCTTAAAATTTGTCTTTACTTCCTCTACCAATTAGTGGGGAGGTCCTTTAGCCAGGACGTCAATCGTATTATGCCCTTGGCTAAGATAAAACGTCATTCTTAGGCCAGTTGTCCATCACTCTTTATTGACACTTCGCCATTAATCACTGCACGAATGTTCGTATCAAGTCAGATTGTCCTTCAAATAAGTGTAAGTGGGGTGGTGGTGGTGTAAATTCACTCCTTTACTAAGAAAAAATAAAATGGGAAATGTATTTCTATGATCTACATGGCATGAAATAATGCGCTGGTAGGTTGAGAGAGAGAATGCGAGTGCGACTCCATTGTAAACACTATCACGAGTATCAGATATGGTTTTTGCATAAACAAGGTATTAGTGAGGATAGAAAAACACTTCAACACTTAAATTGTGCAAAAAAATGGCAAATGCAGGGTAAGTGTCTCTCTTTATGCCCTGAGGTAGGCCATTCACATTAGACAGGATAGAAGTGTCCGGCGCCACCCGATGATTGATATTTAAGTAGTATTGAGGAAGGAAAAAGCCCTCTGTTTGGATAAAAAATAATAAATTATAAGTTTAACTGACATTAAATATGAGGATTTAAAACTGAGTGTTAATTAATAATTGTTGAATAAATTGAAATGATAGACAGATGCTAATTTCTCGTCATACTGGAAATGGTAAGTATTTGGAAGGGTGCAATAAAAGGTGGTGGTAGCTACCTTTGTTGGACTAATTAGTTTGTAAAGCTTCAAAGGAAGGAGCAAAATACAAACCAGTCTTTTCTTTTGGTGCATAAATAATTAGTGCAAGCAGTGCTCCTTGGTAAGGCGCAGTGGCGGAGTGAGTATTACCACCAACCGAATAGCGAGCACACCGCCTAATTCAACGCGCTTTTAAAGAAGAGACGAAGAAGCTGAAGGAGAAGGTAAAGTAGAGGAAGATGAGCTAGAGGGAGAGAGTGGTTAGAGGAAGGCGTCATGCAATATGAGGGTTTTAAAGAGGAATTGGGCTTTGTCGGGGTCGCCTTCGCCTCCCCCATGAGGGTGGATGGCGTCCGCTTGGTCAATAGGTTGGTGCAATCTGCCCGCTTTCTAATTAAAACGTCTCTCCTATCAAATATATATTTCATGTGTACATTTTACTATCTAACTGACGGCAGCTACGATCACAGATGGGTGGAAATTTCCTTCTATCGAAGTGAATTCTTTACACAAAGAAGTGACAAATTTTTGCTCACACTTATTTGCCATTTTGGTAAAATCTCCCATAGATAAAAGGTTACTTCTCTTATTAAGTTAAGTATATTCAAAATCCCTGCATTATTGTCTGATTTTTATAAAAAACACTTTCAAAGAAGACGGTTCCGTTACAGTAGTATAGACTGCTACCATTAATCATTGTTCTCCCTCCAACACGACAAAGTGTTTGAGTGTCTAGCATAACTGAACAGCTTCTGATGATCGGTCATTTAAAACCATATCTTAGCCAATCACTGTGGAGGCAGGAAATTCAAAGCTTCTTAATCAGTAACCTAGTAACTACCTGGTCATGGTGTCCTTGGGAGGCGTCTTTTGAGTTCGCCAATCACGTCCTTAACATATGGACTTTATCTCCTGTAAAAATTTTCCAGTTTCAATAAATAAATCACCTCTTCATCGCTTACTTTAGTAGGCCAAAAAATCTCCACTAAGCTGTTTATCAGGTGACCCGTAAAACTTCCTACAGTCCTTGGTACGGCACCCTTCAGTGGCTTGTCATAACCTGTGGAG